TGCTGACTGTGGATTTGTGGGTTTTTTTTTTTTGTTTTTTGTTTTTTTTTTGTCTTTATTGTTCTTTTTTATATATAAATATTTAATTTACATAAAGCTACATGAAAGCAAGGGAAAATTAATGCATTTTGGCAAAAGGCATCAGACAGCTTATGTATTCATTTTTGTGACTGCAGCTCTTCTGCTTCAAAAGGTCTTAGGTCTCTGATGACTCTTCTGTTGTTGAGACTTCAGTATTATAGGAAAGAAAACTTCGATGAAGTTTATCAGGAGATGTTCTGGGCTTACCAACAGCTTAGTTTCTATGGTATGCTTCACAGAGAAAGGGAATAGCTATCAGTTTAAAGGAAAGATTGAAGAAATTTGGATACAGGTTCTTGTCACATTTCAGATCTCCCCAATTTAGATGTTTGTGGTGTAATCTTGCCTATGGATATTGTTGTGGATGAAGCACTCTGTAGATTCTGCAAGTCTTGAAGCTGTATTTAATTCAGGTGGTTTGTTGATTTCTTGTATTATTATTATTAATAATAATAGTAATAATAATTTTATTGTTTTATTGTTTTATTATTTTATTTAATAACAACAACAACAATAATAATAATTTTTTCAAGGCCAGACTGGATGGGGCCCTGGGCAGCCTGGTCTAGTATTAAATGGGGAGGTTGGTGGCCCTGCATGCGGCAGTGGGGTTGGAGCTTCATGGTCCTTGAGATCCTTTCCAACCCTGGCTATTCTGTAATTTTTAGCTGATTATCTGAGATGTTACCTATGTTATCAAAGAGCATATAGGCATTTTAAATTCTCAGGCCTACATACAAACAAGCTCAGGAACATCTTTTAATCTTAGTGATTTAGAATCCTTCAACAACTACTGAGTCTTAATAGGTCCTAACCCTATTCCAGGAATTATTTCTAATTGAAATTCAGATTCATGACTTCAGTTTAAAGTATACTGGGATAGAGTAGCTGAGGCCCATTGATCATGAGGGTTCTGTGGCGCTTCTAGAGAGCCTTGCAAATTGATAGAGTAGCCATGGACACGTGTATAACATGAGTTCTTTCAGCTGGAATGTAGAAAATGTTCAAGAAAATGCTTGCTCGACCAAGAATTGATTCTTGCTTTCCCAGAAGTCAAGGCATACTGGTATGGCAGCTCAGCATGTTCTCCCAATTCCTGGGCAAAACAGGAATATCTGTCCTGCTATCCAGCCCAACTGTTGAGTACATAGCAAAATGGGGCCTCACAGCCACCTCCTAGAAATCAGTATAGCTCTGATTCAGACCCATGGTCAGCTAGAAGCCTTCTGCATCAATTGACAAAGAGTTCTTGTGATCTCTGAAATACTCTGAAGCCAGCCCAAGAGGTCTAAATTACAAACACGAAATAAAATCAGAAGTAGTCTTTCTGGCTGTGATCAATATCTCCCTCATGTGTTGTAGCTTTTACAGTTTTTTTCCTCTCCTAATCCAGTGCCATTCTCCATCCCCAAAGTACATCCAGCTGTTCATTTGTTCTTATTCCTCCTAGCCTATGGTACTGATATAAACTATGCAGGCTGTAAAAGGATATGTTTCTACTGCAAGAGTTAGCAGTTGTTAATTTGGAAAAAGTATTCAGTAGTATGTGTAGAAATAATTATTGTAGAACAATTTTTTCTTCTTACTCAGAAAATAATTGAGGAAGTTACGTAGAAATCAGATAAACTTATGGATTATAATTGCACTTACAGATAAACCTATGGATTATAATTGCACTTACTGACCCTGTGCTCTATTAATGAAGTATTTTTGTTGCAGCAGAAGGACTTTTTCTTCTCAGCAGCATCATAAAATGCCCCTGGCACAAGTGCCCTATAAGCATGAAAACATGTAGATTAATCTTCATTGCAGTTTGATAAAATTTTCTTTATGTATTATACTGTGTGCTTGCATTTTTAATGGCAGATTTTCAGAGAGAATGTGTTAAATTCATTTCATTTTCTGATATTTCAGTATCACCTTTCATGCAAGAAATTTTGTGATTCTCAGCCTCTCTTCTTTTGTGTTTATACATTTTGAATATGATTATCTGTAGCAGGTTTCCCTTATTAATTATTAGGCGTTTTCCTTTTATGGAGTACTAATAATATGAAATCATAGCGGTGTGGTATCGTCGAACCATTTTCTAGTTCACTTAAATTATTTTAATATAACACTACTGAAATCCAGAATTTTACAGCAAATATACAAAAGACACAGAATCTTAGAAGGAAATCAGCAATGAAAGAATTGATTAACTAAAATGAATATTAATAATGTTTTAAATGCAAAATAAGCTACAGTCATACATTAAGGAACTGATTTTTTTGATGACAAAAACGTGTTTTTTTCACTGAGTGTGTTGATTTTTACTTATTTATTTTTTTAGGAATTCCTTTCCTAAAGCCTGTGTTAGCATCTGCATTGAATAGTGGTTGTACTGTGGTTTGCTTATGACTTGCTCTGTGTTTAAAAATATGGTTTCATAAAGAGGATTGTGGCTTTTCAACCAAAGATTTTGTGGTTATCCATTCTGAAATGCCAAAAAAATATATCTATTCTACTTCTCTGTTAGAAAAATCAAGGATATTTTACAGTATAATGAAATAACTCCTTGCTGTTGATTGTTCTAAATTGTAGAATTACTTAATTGTGGATCTAGACCAAATTTGTTAATCTGACCGGTTGTGGATTCTTGGATTATCAGTAATAGAAATCTGCCATATTACAAATGTGTGTGTATGAGTATGAGGCTTCCATCTTTCAGTAACATGAATGCATGCAGTGGTTTGCCCTGCCTTCAAAATGTTTACTATCATATGTTGCAGAAGTGAGGATAAAGGGCACAGAGCTTATTATGTAATTGCTATGCACACAGCTCTGCTGCTTGATTATGGTGAAAATTGGTATTATGCCAGTGGATTAATTTTGATGATGCTTTCTGTTGTGCTAGCTTTAACCTCTGAAGATTTAAATCCTGACTGTATATCACAGGTGAGAAGTATTCAATTCCAAGTTTCGGAGAAGGCATTTTCCCACGTAATAAAGGTTTTGTGCATACGTGCTTGATCACCTGCCTTCTTTTAGGATATGTGTCTACACATACTTTTGCGGATGTAGGTTAACATATATGAGTGGAAGAGACTTACATTAGCCATTTTCCCATTGCATGGCTTCTTACAGCTATATTGAAAGTATAAAGCTGTTCGTAAAAATTCCACTTTCGTGAAACTAAGCTGTTGTTTTCTGCCTCTTAAAAACTATACAATAGTAAATACGGGACACAGCAGAGGACAGTCAGTTACAAATGGAAGCTTGCCATCTGCCATACTGAGCTAATAATGGTAATGGCAATCTGTGTTATAAACTCAAGACTTAGCCAAGCATTAACTACATGTATGCAGTGTGACCTTATTGCTGTCAAAAATTATAATAATCACATCAATTTATGGAGAGAATTAAGTGTTTGGCATGTTATACGACTTGCTAGGTCTCAAACGTTCCACTATGTCCATCTGGAGCAATAGATTAATACAACACCACGTGTTAGGAGGGGGTCACAGCAGAGGTTGTATGTGCTCAGGAGCCATTTTTAGGTCAGGATTAAAACCTCCTTAATTTAAAAGAGTCAGGAACTGGCATTATCCAGCATGCACTTTGTTGATTTTTTTTCTTTTGGTTTGGTTTGAAATGAAGAAGCCAAGTGTATCCTAAATATACAGCTATAGGCTCTGTATGTAGAAATGTATGAAAGCAAAAAATATGTAACAGAATGTGCAGTGTAAGTTATGTATCTAGTCCACCAGTGAGGATTGCCTGCACATGAAGATACAGACAGAGAAGATCTATGGAAATATGAAGCAGACAATAATATGTGCACGTGAAGGTGGAAGCAATGGGTAGATGATGGATAGTTCTCTGAACTGTAGTGGCATATTTTTGTAGTACTACTTAGATTAGTCTACTCTCAACACATCTGACTAACGTATGAATGAGTGGAAGGATAATTCTTAGTCTTTCAAGCAACATTAATCCTAAATATTTAGATCTAATCTAAATATCACTAGCTTCATTTTTAATTTGAGTGACAAAATCTACTGCTTCACTGAGTTCAATAAGTAATCGACCATATTACTTTGTTTAGTCACCACATTACCAGTTTTGGGCAGTATACTGAATCTGTACTTACTGCCAAGTATTGCCTTCTGTGAAATTATTGTTTGTGATGCTGTCATGCTACACATGCACATTTGCTGCCAGTTTTATCAGCCCCTCAGGACTGAAGAACTGAATAACTAAATGCGTCTGGGCCCCTTTAGGGAGGCTGCGTCTCCTTTCATGTGAAATTCTAACACGTGCTGCTGTTTCATTGTGCCCAGCTAAATATTCTACTTGTTTTTTAATCTCTGGGTCTGTGTCTGCTGCCTTCCATTGAAAGAAATGCCTGTTAAGCCACAGCGTCTAGCATGGTTTTAACTCTTGCAATTTCTGTTCTCCAGTCTGGTGCTGTTAATTGCTTCTGTATTTCAAAGATGGATCTGCTTGAGATACCACTTCAGAGCTCTGGTGCTTTGCACATCTTGAACGTTTGGTTAATGAATTTCACGCGGAAGATGCTGGCAAACGTACCTAGTTGCCTCCTTTCCTGGTGGAGAAGGAGCTTCAAAGAAAGGAGCTGAAGGTTGCTTGCTTCCTAATTGTTGCATCTGAGTTTCTTCTTGGCACACTGTCATGTGACTTTGACCAAGTTTAGGCAATTGCTAATTGTTCAGTGCTTTACTTAGTACGTTTTAAACAAATGGAGCAGAAAGTGAAATGCTTCTTAACTCAGCAATGACCCAGTTCTCTAGGTAGCTGCATTAGGATAGTTAAGGTTGACTTGGTATTGAAATCTCTGATTATAATTTTTAATGAATTTGTGTATTGAAAACTGCAAAATGAATTATTCTAAGATGTTTTTCTTATCTTTGCTTCACTAGTATCAGGATACGAATATGCAAGGTGTAGTGTATGAATTGAACAGCTACATAGAGCAGCGCCTGGATACAGGAGGAGATAACCAACTACTTTTATATGAACTGAGCAGCATCATTAAAATAGGTAAGACACAGAATCTGATGTGTCTGATCTGTTCCTTTGCATCAGTGCACAGCACATTTGTTACAAATTTTAATTAGTAAAGAGAGATGTAGTGTATACCTTGGATGTTGTCTCAGGATGGACTTCAGCTTCTGTACCTCATTGGATTCCTTACTACATCTGAAAGAGGTTCTTCTTTGGAGAGAGCTCTGCAGCTCATTGCAAAATTAAATCATCTTGTTAAATGAACCAAATTATAGATTATTCTGGTTATGACGGTGTTGGAAGATCAATATTAAAAGTTAAAAAAAATTGTCAGTAATATCACTGAATACTTAAATCCCTTTTCAAACAAAATTGAGATGTACAGAAAGAGGATGTCTTCATCACTTCAAATTCAGTTTTTAAGCATTTTTTTTCTATCTGATGTAAGTAGTATTTTTAGTATATATATAAAAAAATAATACTACATGTGATCAAGAGTTAATAGAAAAAAAAAACCATCCCCAGTAAAAATGTGTTATTTGGTAGTTTGTTGGTTTTTTTTATCCATAGTGGTTGTACTGAGACTTCAGTAGAAAGGATTGGTACCTTTATTTAGTGTAATAGGTTACATGCAACTCTTCAGAAGAATTTCCCCATCATGGATATTTTGTTGTTTTGTAATGGTGGATAATTGTTCTCTCTTATGTACATGAAGTTTCAAAAGGGCCACTTCTGTTTAGTGACCTTGCTTTAGTGGCTTTTTGAATATTGATGCCCAGCTCACAGCAAATCAGAACAGAGTTTTGTTAATTCACCACAAGCAACAAACTGGAAGACTTATCTTTTAGACTTTTTTTTTCTTTTCTAAAGCACATGAAATTTTTTTATATTTCCTCTACAGTGGTTTTTTACTACATTGTTTAATATGCTTATATGAGGGATTTAAAATTTGAATCCAAACCACCATGCCATGAACTCTCAGATGTCACACAGTTGACAGTAAGCAAGTAACAACAGAGTAGATTTTTTTTCCTTCTGTCAAAGAAATGGAGAAATCCAACTGCTTTGACAATACAGAAGTATAATTGCTCCCATGAAATGTGTTGAACAGACTCTTGTGTTCATTCATTAAAGTAGGATATCGGATAGGTACATTTACTGGGTAGAATGGTTATTAGCTGTTGAAAAGAAAAGTTACTTAAACTCTAAGTATTGAGTCTACTGTGTAAAACAGGGTAAAAAACACTGGCCTCCTATACTCTCTTCTGATTCATAGTTTTCATTTCAGCTGTAACTTATAATAAATAGTTCATTGACTTTCAGTTTTTTAAAGGTTAAGGAATTCAACTTTATCCTGTTTCATACAGCAATGTGAATCTAGCAAAAATCAGGCAAGTACAAAAATTGTGGTGTGTCACTGTTTTTGGAATGGGACAGGTGCAGAAAATAGAAACAGTTTGTTATGAAACACATTTTTATGGCAATATTTGCAGCATTTTATTTTCCCATACTTTTCTGTCTTAAGGCAAGGATAAAAATAGTTTACCATCTCCAACCAGTATTTATTTTCCTCATGGAAATTATAATCTTATCTGCCTGATCATATTATAAATTTATGTTCTTATTTTATTTCTATACTGTTGTATGAACCAATTTGAATTTATCGGCATTAGGCCTTAGAATAAGAGTATGATGTATTGTTGTTTCTAATAATCTTTTAGAACATAGTACATTGCAGTGGTGAAAATAAGTATTGTTCTGTACCTCTAATTTCAAAAGAGTCTTGGAATTTTCAAGGGACACAGTGATGGACTTTCACATTTAGAAATGTTTATGGTTGTCCTAAAAAGAGTTGAATCTTTGGTTTCACTTCAGAGAACTTCTTTAAGCTTGATTCCCACTCTGAGTACATTTATTTATTTTATTATTGCTTTGGCAGCTACGAAAGCTGATGGATTTGCACTATATTTCCTGGGAGAATGCAATAATGTAAGTATTCTGGATTTAGATACTGCTTTTGTGTACAGTCACAAGTGCATTTTCCAGTTTTACAATGATATTTTGATTTTATATTTACCTCATTTAGCAGGAAATATTGTCTAAGTGCTGAATATTAGCTCTTCATTAGGTTGGTTTATTTATTTATTTTTCCTGCAAAATGAAAGTTTAGTTAACATGGTGGTAATGTTTCCCACATTTAGTGTCTTGGCACTTTTTTTATTCCTTTTCTTTTTTTTTTTTCTCTTTTTTTTTTTCCCCCCGTAGGATTTGGCAGTAGAATGCTGTGATAGTAGAATGCTAATGTTATTACTCTGTCTGTAGCAACTTAGCTTGTGATTTGGCTCCATTATTTTCTTTAACAAACATAGAACATAATATGAATTTGCTCTCAGCATAACCTGTTCTTTTATCCAGACATCATTCTGTTTTATTTGAAATGATGTCAATTCTTCTGATAACTGCTAGGAGGAACTTCATCATGAGATGATATAAATCTTAGGTATGGATGTTGGTTAGTGTGACATAAATTGTACATTTAAAATTCATAAGGGAGATGAATATCTGATGTAAAAATTTGAATAACAGTGTGTCCGATACTGTTTTGTACCCCCCCTTTTTTTTAGTATCCTGATCAATTTGTATAGTTAACATTGTACAATAGTTTTAGTTACTTTGAATGGCTACAGAGATGGAAATGCAGTTTATACTTCATTGAACTCCATCAACTTCAAAATCACAATTTGTCAGAAATGTTTAATCTCTCATTGGTTCAAGAAACAAATCATACTTTTCTAAGTGAAAATTATTAGAGAGGAGAACATTTTTCCTGTTGCTTTTGTTTCCTTACATTACACAGCTAGTTTATTTTTGTGTAGTTCATTAGCCAATTTTCTTTGCTCATTGTGAAATAAATGCACTAAGAAGAAGGGAAATAATGCCATTTTTGAAATTATAAAAAAACATGAAGATGTAGAAACCTGCAGGTGATTTGAGCCTTGCCTGAGAATATTTTTGATTTGTTCAAAACAACCATATCATCTGAAGGAGGTGAAGGAAGGCCCATACATGAATTTAAGCAAAAAAGAAAAATGGAAATGGATTTTGCATATTTTTCTTTCAATGTTTATTCAATGTGATAAAGGTAACCAATTTTATTATTTATAAATTGCTTTTTCTCTGAACTCAATAAGTATGTGAATAACACAAAAGGGACATAATTTAAGTGATGTGTTCATCTTTTGTGAATGCAATGTTTTGTTCTCATTTGTCGGTGCCAGTGTTTGCTTTCATGAGTGGTAGATGACGGAAACTGTGGCCAAATACATTGTGCCTGCTGCAAATAGCAGGAACTTGCAAGAATTGTAGTCATCAACTCTGAATGCGCAGATCTGACCAGCTTCAGGGGTAGTAGTTGCATGCCAGCTGAGCAAGAGGTTCATCTCCCTAAGCACTTTGTAAAAGGTTATTATAAATTGACTTTACAGCTTGAGACCTATTACAGTGAGATTTTTTGTATTAGGTTTGTATGGCATAACTGAGGTTTCTCCCCAATCTTCACATATTTTGAGGACCTGGGTGCTTTCAGACCTTCTACTTTTCTTCTCATCTCTTTCTTCCTCCTCCTTTTTTTTTTTTTTTTTCTTCTTGATAGCCTATCAAGAAGTTGAATGTATCTGCCTCCAGTATAAATCTTTCTGCAAAAAGTTAAGAAGTTCCAACCTCTGAAAAAATACATATTAACCACTGCTACGTAACTACATCTCCCAAAATGGAATGTTTCTCATGTAGTTATTATGGGGACTGATCCTAAGTTCTTTGATGTTAGTGTGAGATTTTCCATTCACATTAATGGGCTTAGGGCCAGACCCATGCTTGTAGTATGTAACTGAATGGTTATGCTTTAGGCTATTTTGTGTAAGAAGTTGTCCTTTGCTTATCCTTGTCTCTTGACTATTTAATTTAAAGGATATGTCAAAGAGATTGACCATCAGTCAGCAAGTACTGGCATTTACTGGCAGTTTATTCAGTAAGTCTTCGCTAAATGAGAACAATAGGAATCTGCATAGTGCAAATGGCAGAAAAGGACTAATTCTTTTAGATGAAGTTAATTATTTTATTTAAGAAGTTATAAAATCTGTAATTAGTGTAGACAAAGTAAAGCTACTTGTGGTCACTAATGGATGCATGGTGGGAAATAGTTGCTTAATTTTTTGATGCTTGTTGATTTGAGATTTAAATTTCCCAAATTATACTTTTTTTTTCTTTTTTTTTTTTTTCTTGGAAAATATACGTATATCTACTTACAGATTTGATGTAACAGTTATTTTCACCATGCTTTCAAAAAAAAAAAAAATTGATTTCTGGGAATGAGGTATTAGGAGAAGGTCGTGTCAGGATGGAGGAACCTTGATAATAATAAGTAAATACCAACATTCACACAAGTGGTTTGTAAAGTTTAGTGATATTTGTTCTCACTATTTGGTAGGGAAAGTTGGGATCAAATCTAAAGCTAAAGCATTAAATCTACATAATTTCAGCTCTCACTGTAAATATGTATGGCTACACTGGTGCCTGTTTAAGGAAATCCATCCTCAGTAATTTTGACATTTTAATCTCGGCTAAGGAACATTCTTGCAATACAAGTTTTGCATAACTACATTTAAAATAGATTAAATAGTGAGTTTCATTAGGATAAAAGATAACTTCCTTTTACAGAAATTCTAGGCTTCTACAGAATGAAAGCAAATTGATAATTACTGCATAGTGTGTGCTGTTATTTCTTCATGGCGAAATAAGAAGATAATTGCCCTATCATTGTAACTCTTTGTTTGTTTGTTTGTTTTGTTTGTTTTTATTGTGATTTATTAAGTATTCATTGTAAACCTTTCCTGGTGTGATTTTTGTTGTGGACAGCACTTCACTAACTTAGTGTATTAGAGTTGAAAGCACTTGTTCAGTGTGAAGATAAGTTTGGCATTTTCATTTTGCAAAGCATAGGTGATACATTTGCCTTTTAAGATGTTTTAGAAAGGGTTCCTTTACGTTTAACAGGACAGGGTGTCTTGTTGCAGGTGTTGAAAGCACCCTGCAGAATTCAACAGGACTTTGAGGAGTTTGTTAAAATACCTGCACATACAACATTTCAGTATAGCTTTGTTTTCTTTCTCTCTGTTGAAGGACATGGAAAAGTACCATGAGTCGGATAACAACAGACATGGAAATTTCTGGGTGATGAGTTGGACTGAATGCCTTTGGGGTCTTTAGCTGGGTAAATTTACTTGAAATGGAAGGTGCTGCACCAATTACTCATTAGAGTGCATTTAATTATGCAGGTATTACTTAGAGTTGGTCACCAGCATGACCAGTTCAGTAGTATCGGTGACTTTCTGTTTGTTCGAATTACTTATGCATTCTAAGGGACAGCATGATTCTGCTGATGGTACAGATGATTGCTGATTACACGATTCTTCTTTTTAAATGATTGCCCTCAAGGAGGTTGGTACCATTCACATGTCCAACTCCTTGCTCACTCATAAAGTCATCTTCTGTTTCAAAATCTGTTTTGTTATATAATATACATCCGGCTGAATGTGGGGCAAAATACATAGGTTCTAGAAGCAGTATAGCTTCATCATTGTAGGAAAGAGATCTGAGCAGAACTATGCTCACTAGTGACTTCTGGTTCTTGAACTTTCTCTGTACTACATTGTGCAATGTAGGTGTTCTCTTAAGAAATTATCTTTGTCCATGACTTTGTGCGGTTATGCAAATAAAGCAATCTTAAAGTAGACAAGATTCATTTTGCAAATAAGATATGCTTGGAGACTGGAAACACTTCCACATCAAGCAGGAATGTTCCACAACTCGTAAAGAAAGGACATTACTTAGTCACAGTTTTTTGTTTTGTTTCTTATGGGGTTGAAAATACAGTTCATAATTCTCATGTTATGACCTTAATTAAATATCATCTTTAAACACGCCTAAAAGGATTTATTAAAATTTGTGGTATTTGATGATGTGCCTAAGTACAAGATGTGCATGGATTGAAGGCTGTAAACTAACATCTATCTATTTCTAAAATACTTAACAAAGAGTTTCTAATGTATTGTTATCTCATTCTTCAGATGATTCAGATTCGTGTTTATAGTCATTATTTATGTGAGGAGTTCACCTCATGATCCTGTGGATTTGTATGCAAAACTGTTCAAATTTAAAAGGTGTACACTTGAAGTAGCTTTCACTAAATCTTTGGAGTGCTGCTTAGCTCCTGAAACTGAAAATTGTGCTGACAAGCAGATCAACCTTGCTTCAGATAGGAGTTTCTTGTAGCTTTGTTGTAAGAAATTCAGTGAGGCCACAAATATGTGCGCAAACACTCTGTGCTTCAGGGTGTATAATATTAAGCTAGTCTACAATTTCTGTTGATACTGAAAATTGCTGCTGCTTGATGCACAGTGCCACCTAGTGAATTTATGAGGTGAATTACTAAGAGTATTACTAAGAATCAAGCAAAAAGCATCTACTCATTCATTGCTGTCTCAAGTTTTGTGCCAACTTGATATACATTACTTTAAATTTGTAGACATCTCTGAAATTTGAGTCTTCTAAATATATTTCTAGGTGAAACTCTTCTAGCTTCCAGGCAATTCAGAAAACTATAATCTCTGTCCTTGACTTACCTCTGTCATCATGTAATCTTTTTAGTGGAAGAAATCAGTTCTTTTCCTATGTGCCAGAGAGGAAAAGCTGTTGATGAATTACAGTTTTACAGTTTAATTTTGTGTCGATAAATTATCCAGCTGGAGCAAAGTAAGATAGGTAACTATCAAGATACAGCTGAATGAATGTTTGGTCCCATTTCATTTACTATTCAGGTGGGCAGATTGGTAAAATGGTCATAATGAAAATACCTTAGGTAGAATGTGAATCTATACAAAGGCTAGTTATTTGTGGCTCCCAATCACAGTGCAGGGGCATTTTCATAGAATCATAGAATGGCTTGAGTTGGAACGTACCCTAAGGATCATCAAGTTTCAACCTCCATGCCACAGGCAGGGCCTTCAACCTCCATTTTTTACAAATTATCAAGGATTTATCCTGGAATCTGGTTTTGCTCAATATAGTCATTAAAGCATGCATGCACCGAGAATATGAGCTTATTAAATTTGCGTATGGCATGGAATTGGGAAGGTCTGCAGATATGTTCGTAGGGAAGTGTTAGAATTCGTGGTGATCATGAGAAACAGGTCTAAAGACCTGGCCTTGTGTAGGGTGACTTTGAGAAAAATACTGGGAGTTGCAGTGAACTTGAGGCTAAACATGAGCCAGCAGTATCATTGCTCTTGCGAAAGAGGCACTGCTAGGTAGCAGCAGCAGAAATCTAGTCTTCATGAGAAGTAATGTTGCCATTCCTTTGAATGTTGGTTGTGGTCTCAAGTGGAATAATATGTTTAGTTTAAGTGCTGCATTTATTTAAAAAATGGAGGAACTGGAGAGACTCCAAGAGCATGCAGGGAGAATGGTCAGAAAGCTGAAGAACTGGCATTGTTTAATCTGAAGGAAAGGAAGTTGAGTGGTGAAAATATGCCTGGGTAAAACAGAAAGGAGGAAAATCATCCCTATCATTGTGGTATATAGAGAAAAAAGTAGGTGGTTTGAATTGGCATTAGTGAGCTTCCCCAGTTGTGTCTGTACTGAAGCATTACAATGTGTTGCTTCTGAAAGCTCAGGTATCTTCATTCTTGGATGTCTTCTGAGAGCTGTTTGAACAAACATCTTTCAGAATAATGCTTGCTGACCATACCATAAAGCATAGAGGTTGGAGGAGAGGTGAGTCACCTTAGTTTTCTGTTTCAGTGAACTACTGTAACTTTTCACATGTTAATTTTGTGTTTCTCTGAAGGAGAACTGAAGGAACAATTGGAGAGTTACCAGAAATGAAATGTAGTTAGAGAGTAACGGCATTTAAAAGGATGCAAACTGTAGAAATAAAACAAGTAGTATTTTTTCTGCAGCATGTAAGTATAATTATCTGACATTTGTGTCTTTTCCCAACATATTTATATATTATATGATTTAAAAATTGAAACCTTTTCTCAAGTACACTGTTAGCTTTATAGAAGAAAATAAGAAGTTTTCATAAAAATTGAGGTAATTGCCACTTTTTTTTTTTTTTTTCCCTTGTGTGCTTCATGCGCAGTAGAATTGCTGCATTTGTGTTGTTAAACATTTACTTATACCTCTAACATTTTAGCATGGTATGATTGGGTTAGTACATCAGTTTAGCTAGTTTGCAAATACAAGCTTTTTGATTATGAATGCCTTCCAAATTAATTTTGATTGGTTTGTTTGTTTTCTTGTCATTATTTCTTATTGTAGTAAGTTTTGCTTCTGCAAAAAATTGTCCTGAAGCAAAAGCCTTAATACATGCTTGCAATTACATTCGGCATTAAACTGTGTGGTTTTGCATGTGTAAACTGTCACATCCTTTACCAAGAGCAAAAACCTGTTTACTATCACTGAAGAGAAAGAGATGTGAGCTGCAAATACCATAATGCACACTTAATGTCAACTTGTTTAATGCCCCTTTCTCTGTAATGTGTTTTATTTTTTCCCAAGCATCATGCCATATAGTAATGCTGTAGTACTAAGGCTTTCACTTAATGTCAATTCAATATTAAATCACTTTCCATTAAGCATTTTCAAGGCCAGTTTTATCCGCAAAACTCACTGTGGAAGATGCCCTTGCCTCCAAAGCATTTCGTTAATGAAACGCTTATGGTGTATGTACTTTAACCCTCATTCTGTTCATTAAACCTGGGACTTATTGAAATGTCTTTGCTGTAAAGATATTTTAGTAAAATCAGTTTCTGATTAGTTCTTAGTTATAAGAAGTACTTTTAGAAAGAAGAAAAACTGAGCGGTTTGGGAAATAGTAAATGTTTGCACTTCAAATCCAGCCCTAACAAACTTTATATAGCTAGTTGAATGCTGTATAGCCTTCATGGATTGAGATTTGGTGTTCTGCTGGATTACCCTAGATACACCCCAACAGTCACCAGAATAATAGCATTGTTTACCCCTGTGATTGACCTCTTCATCAGAGGATCCAAAGACTGAAAACACCTGAAAACTTTGGGTACTTAAAACTGAAGGAACTTCTGTGAGGAGAAGCTGATGGTATTCTGTTAGCATTCTGGGGTGGCTTCTCAACCTTTCTTTCACTGGGATTTTAATCTGCTGCCTCTGCTAAGTGTTAGATTTTCACCATAAAAAAAGAACTGCAAGGCCACAGTATGATAGCATGACAAGATGAACAACACTATTGCTTCTTGTGCATGTTCTTATTGTTGCAAGTGAGGAATATTTAGGGTTTTTTCAACTGTAGTAAAGATACTGAAGATAAATTTCATCATAATTTCAACCAAATAAATACATGGGATTAAGGAAAGAGCATTAAGGGCCATGGTGCTGTGTCTAATTGGTTGTATACTAGTTTTGTTACATTTCTGAAAGCCAAGTTTGCTGTGTTTTACTTGCAATTGGGAACGCTGTTAATATCTTTCATGAACAGGTTACAGTATATGCTGTTATGCATTGTTTGTAGACTGGAAGACTTGTTAATATATTAGCATTTCAAATAGAGATGATAATGTATTGCCTACACCAGAAATGCCTATGAAATATGAAAGGATGAATTATGTTACGTTTGTGTTAAGTGGTTGAACTTTCTTCCTAATTGTCATTTGTTTTGGATTTTTTTTGTGTTTTGCCTGTTTGTTTTAAGAATCTTGTGCACTATCTAGTATATAATCATTTATAATATATAATCATTTTATAAAATACTACCATCATAAAACTAGTTGAAGTTGGTTCTGATTGAAGAAAGACAGAAAACAGCCTCAGAAACAAAAGTAAAATTCCAAAGCCCGGTGAAATCAAGTTTATGTCTAGTAACAGTATAATTATCCTTTTGTTAAGGTCTATAACTGAAAATATATTTAATTTCCATCAGGAGATTGTCTTCAACTGAAACTAGTGAAATTTAATTTTTAGAAATTACTACAGAGATCACAAATGATGACTAGAGCTTCTCGCATTAGAAAAAGTCACTTTTTATACACTGCAGCATCAGTCAAAAACAAGAGCAGATTTTTTTGATGAAGACTTTATCTAAATGAATTTAGAGATTGAACTAGAAGGAAAGGAATAATTTTGAAGATTTTGAAGCCAATTGAAACAATTTGTGACATCACAGAATGAAAGGAAGGGCCTTGCGTGCTCTGCGTTTCAGACATTGAATGGGAAAGCTTCTGGTCTTAGGGTCCTCTTCCAGTATCCTCTTGTCTAACTACTCTTAAAGATGGGAGAGAAGTCCATCACCATTAAGTAGCAGCCTTGTAGATCCCACTAGATATTTGGAAGAGCTTTTTATCTCTGACACTTTACCAGTGTTTTTTGTTTGTTTCTTTTGTTTTGTTCTTCCTGCAAGAGGCAGAATTGGAATTGCTTCTGCAAAACCCTTTTATCAGTATATATGAAATGCTCTCCATATCCTTTTTCCTATGGAAGGATGCATGTTCAAAACATTACTTCTTAGTAGTAGCAACAGCAGGGTTTGCCAGCCAAAATGGTATTTACGTGAGGACTGTTAAAAGCCACTCTTTAATGAACCTATGAGTGAAAATAGATTTTAAGAGTAAGCTTGAATTTTGGCATCAGTATAAACAGAAAAGCTCAAGATTTCTTACCATAATGGAAACCATCAAAATAAAGCGTGTTGAATACATGTTCAGTAGAGCTACTCAATGAAAAAAAAAAATCTTTCTTTTTAACTACATGAGAAGTATGAAACTGAAGTTTGCTGAAACTTCACAGCTGAAATACTATGTGGCAGCTTTATTTTCTTTTGTTAAGGTAACTTAATCTCCATTTGTATTGCATTAGTAGCAAATGAAGAACTGGAACGACAAAACACCCCTATGGAAATGCAGATTCAAGCCCTACTGCTGTAACACTGTGTAACCTTTGCCATGTCTCTTATTTCTCATGTGCCTAAACATCTTTGTTTAAAGGGTTCTGTTATACTCAAAAAGGTGTGAGATTCCAGAGTGTCTGTTACTCTGCAGTGCTACAGGCCAAATTAACTAACACTTGTAAGGAGTTAGACATAGAACAATGAAACAGAAGATGGAACTTTTTGCCTGCAAAATGAACTCTTTCTCCCGATTTCATTGGAGTTTGTTTTTTTTTTTTTTTTTTGTGATTTTGTGAGAACGGTTGTCACTAACTGCCTTCTTAGTTTTGTGTTAATTTTAAAATTATATGTACTTTCTGAACATTTTCAGTTGAAATAAGTAATAATAATAGTCTACATCCTAGAAAGAAATCTTACATAAGGAAATATTTTTTCTGTGACTCCATGTAGGACATTCAAAGCAAACACAATTCAACACTAACGTAAGTGATGACTGACTTTGGCAGAAGAGTTTTTCACTGTCTGAATGGTAAATTTAGAGTGGGATTTCCTAGTATGAAAGAATTATGTGCAGCTTATCCAAGTACTTTCCGTTGTCAAAAGCACAAAAGCTGTTTTTCTCTGTTATCTACTTTATTAAATCCTACCGTATTACATATATACATATATATATATATATATATATATATATATATATACACACACCCAGTAAATGTAGCCATACTCTCTAATTGCATTTTTTTCTTTTTCCTTCTAACTAGAGTCTGTGTGTATTTACGCCACCAGGAGCTAAAGAAGGACAACCGCGTCTCATTCCTGCAGGGCCCATTGCACATGGCACTACAGTATCTGCTTATGTAGCCAGATCCAGAAAAACGTTGTTAGTAGAAGATATTCTGGGGGTAAAAAGCTTCCTCTTTTTAATGAGAAGAATGCAACTTATTCTTAGAATGAATATTTTGATGCTGAGGTTTATTAATATAATATGATATAGTAAAATATTGATATACTGTAATATAATATAATGATATAATTTACATCCGTCTTGCTACCAAAAAAATAAGTTTAAGTTTGGATCAGCTTGATCTAGTAAATTCAGAATATCCAATTTATTTCTGAATTAATTTTTTTGAGTGTGTTGTAACATATTTTTGTTGTCAATTAATGGAAGTAATGGTATCATAATCACTTAGATAAATAAACACATCAGTCAAAACACATGTCCTCCTGGTCTTGAAATACTCTACTTTGCCAGTTCCAAACACATAGACTTCCACATAGTCAATCAAAGTCTGATTTAGTTATAGCACTTCACTCATACTGACAAGAATGTTAATCAGAATTCTGATTGTTAGACAGGATTTTGATCTCTACTTACATTAATGTAAAGCCAGAATGTTTATATTATCAGTAGAGTTACATTAAAGGCACATTAATGTAACTCAGCAAAATTCCTGCTCCTCTTTTAAAAAAAAAAAAAAAAAAAAAAGGATTCAGGTACTCCTCATGAGATATTGTGATGATTTCTGGCAATCTGTATGTCTGTCCTTTTTCATGTTTTGAAAAGCTTAGTTCCCTAGTCTACAATTACACCAAACAAGCAATTTACTTATACTGTATGAGAGAGCATTTTGAACAGAAACTAACACAAAAAAAAGCAGAAGCTGCTTTCTCTATAGTAGCAATTGGTACTTACCTGGACTGTAAAGTGTTTATATGCTGCTAGGTTTTTTCATTCAACATATGGGGCCTACGATGTTACAGGTAATTTCCAATTAATGTAATGATGGGCTTGTCTGTGAAGGTTGAATATTTTGATTTTGCATCCCTAATTAAATTCAGGAGAGTTATTGAAGATGAGTTTTGAACTCCTTGCTGGTTTACAGTGTCAGATTATTAACAGAAATCCTGACAATTTTTTTTTTTTTTTTTTTTTCTGGATGAGTGTAGTGATCATCTAACATGTTGTGTCAATAGGAAAAGGTTAACTTTCACAGTGAAGTTCCAAGTTATGAACCTCTGCCAAGGCTATACATGATTTGCCTTCCTGTGAGTTTTGGACTCACACAAACTCATCAGACCTCTTCTGTGGAAGACGTATAGGTGCTTCCCAGTCTCCTTTGCCTTTGAGGTTGTTTGAGGCTGATTATTTGTTCATAGTCATTCAAATCAGTTGTTATTTTGATAATTAAGGTAGAGCTTACTTGTTTGAGAAATGAGGGGATCCCCAACCACAGTGATATAGGGTTGAGGAAGTGGGAGTTTTTCTACACAGAATCTGCAGTGAGCATCTGGTAGGAAACATGTGGAAGAACTGGTGTGGAATCAAATGTGTCTAGTGTACTTCAGGCTGCTTAGGTACTGCCTCACTGCAATAACATCCAGGTAGTTTCTCTTTGTGAGTTTTCCCACCTGAGGTGTTAAAGTTATGATGTTTTGGGTATTTCCCACTTCAAGCAAAAGTTATTCATTTGAGCCTTTTGTAGCAGCTAGTAGGCTATTTCTAACATTTATTCTTATAAATTTTGCACAGACTTATTCAGGATGCATAAGCAAGGGAAGGAGAAGGACTTTACTGTCATGCATAATTTTTTAAGAAAAATATTTTTTTCATAGGAGTCAATTGAGGATTGTAGCTTTGTTTGTTTTGTTTTCTTTCTTAATCTAGACTGGATTAACGGTGAAGTGCTGGTTTACCTTCCTGTCAGATTATAGAAAATATATTATAAAAATAAACCTGAAGCTGAGCCTAACACCACAACTAATTCTGAATTTGCATCAATGTGTTTATTTGTGCATATAAGTTATAGCTGAGAAGATTAGACTTTTTTGTTGTATTTCATTAGTATATGTCTTAAAGCTATATTTCAATTATGCTCAGATTTAGAATTTTTAGTGAATTTTGTCAGTAATCATGTTTTCAAGCATGTGCGATCAGTCAGGAAGAGGAGAAAAATACCAGTGTATATTTTATATGAATGTTACAATGTTTATGTTTTATCAGATTATATTTACATTTTCTAGGATGAGCGATTTCCCAAAGGTACTGGACTGGAATCAGGGACTCGTATCCAATCTGTTCTTTGTTTACCAATTGTCACTGCAATTGGTGATCTGATTGGTATCCTGGAGCTTTATCGTCACTGGGGCAAAGAAGCCTTCCATCTTAGTCACCAAGAGGTGAGACCCCCCCCTTTCATAATTTATTCTGAAATTCTCTGGGGTTAGCTGAACTGAAAAGTAATTATTCCTAAAAAAAAAAAAAAGATATTAAAATTAGTCCTCCCAACGAAAAAAAAAAAAAAGGATTAGTAGTATTTGTCAGTTGTGTATTCTGTAACATAAGTTATTATGTTTGTACGTTAGCCTGGTAGTCAGTACATGTGGCTTCAGCCTCAGTGTCTCAGCTGGTGTTTTTTCTCTAGTAGATAGAGGTCATGGTAGGGTACTTGATTAATATGGTACTGCTGGTGTGCTTGTATACGCAGCAAAGGAAAGACATTCGCACAAAACCAGCTTCATAGGCCTTGTACTTCTGCTGCTTACACACTGTGTATTTATTTTTTGATGTTGTCCTATTACATTCATCAGTCTACAATTTATATAGTCTCAGACTATATATTTTATTGTTTATACTAAATACCTTCTTTAACTGAAGTTCATTAATATTTTACTTGTAAAAGGCTGACTACTAAACAAAAGCATTTTATTTGTAAGTTAAAAAATATTTAATGGTCATTTTTGAGTGTTCTAAATCATTTGTTTGTTTTCAGGTTTCAGAAAGAATACTGTTAGTGGTTTTTATAAAATCTGTACAATGTGTTCTATTTAAAAAAAATGGTAGATGAGAGAGGGAATGCAGTGGCAGAGCTCTTGTACTTATGTTCTTCGTGTTCCTATAAAGCTCATATGTTTCAAGGACAGGAGATCATGTATAGCAGCACAACTTAGTTAACTGCAGCTTACATGATGTTTTCTTGAAATGTTGCCTGGAAACTGTCATATTTAAAAGTACTCGTCCTGAACTGAGAGATCGAGTCTGATTCTTCTGTCACCAAAAAGGTAGTGAAAGAGACAGTGCCTGTTTAAAGCTGGAAATAATTGTGGCTGAAGAGACACAGCTCCAGGAAGATGTTAAGGCATATTTTGTTCCTGTAGCAGATATCTTTAAAAAGAAACAAACAAACAAAAAAAAAAAACAAAAAACCCAACACTGTAATTTTTAGAGTCCTCAACTTGTGAGATGTTTGTTTTTGTGTTATGTCTCTGATCTGATGGGTTCTTAATATAATACCATTTCCAAAGCATCGATAAGCATCTTTGTGACACAGAAGAGGAGAAATGTTCTATTGAGGCTGAATACATCTTATTGATACTGGAACACTTGCGAGAATACTGATACTTTCACAAACTAGCAGTATTCCAACAGATTGTTTCTGTCTTTCTTTGTCTAATTCACTTATCAGCTGGATAGGAAAAATTATCAGGTAACTTATATGACGTTATAAAGATTTTTTCAGAATGCCTTCTCTTCTGCTTCAGGTTGCAACAGCAAATCTTGCATGGGCTTCGGTAGCAATACATCAAGTACAAGTAAGTTTCGGTTGTTTTTCATTTTTTTCATTATGTAATCCTTTTTTCAGAGCTTGATTGGTTGGACTGTAGAATGTGCTCAAATTTAAGTGGAATCACTAGAGAATCATTGATCATAACCTCCTTTCCAGATCCTAGAAAAAGTATGCTAACTTTTTTGGTGTTCATTGAGCTCATTCTCTTGCCTAGCAACCATGGATCATATGATTTAATAAAAAGTATTTCTATTATTCCTTTTATTTTTAATGAAAAGAAACATTACCGAAGTAGGTAAGTAGTTATTAAAGTTATTAAATCAGAAATGGAAAAAAAATGTTGTTTTTTTTTTCTTGTAATAAGGTAACTGCTAGGCCACCTGATTGCTTTCCTCCTCTCGTACTAATCAGGTTTAAATTATTTGGTATTTCTGGCAAAGTCTGCTTTAAGCCATCTTTGCTGGCTGCTTCATGGTCCTACTCCCACTAAGGATGCTTCATGCTGTTCTTATTTGAGTGTCTAATGAAGCTCCATGCTGATAGCTGCTATTCAACTTTACTAATAGGTTTTGTTCCTTCAGCTAATAGAAGATGATAACACCAAAACTAAACCTATCCCATCAGCTCATGGAAGATGCTGAAATAGGATCCTTCTGTCAACTTAAAGAAGGGAATTTATTGCTTGCTTTTTTTTTTTTTTTTTTTTTTTTTTTAAGCTGTCTATAATGCATCTTGCAAAAGACTTGGGCAAACTTTCTTGCATTTCTTTATAGATAATATTTGCCACTGCAGTGCTGGAAATCCTTGACGTTGTTTAGGACGATCATTCACCCTGTAACATTCAGAAATAATATGCTGGCCTTGTTTATTGTGCACTAATAGAATTTTAATTGTATGCAGTTTTAACTGTACATCACTTTATAATAATGTTCTGTTCTTCAATGAAGAATCTTTAACACATAAGAAAACAAAACATGGAAATCTTAATTAAAGCTTGTCCAATGGTCATTTTCATTCCTCTCCTTTCTGTTCCTCTGGGCAAAAGCAGAAGGCTCATTCTGCCCAACTTCTTGCCTATGAAGAACGTGGGAGTTCTGATCTGATGCTAAGTAGGCTAGTTAACATTTAGATTGCTATGATTGAGGCCCAGCACACAAATCCAGCTTTTAATTTTATACAGTGCTGGAAAATATTTAAAAACTTTGATCTAGAATGTTTAATACAAATTAAGTGAATAGACCACAAAACTGCAGTTTCAGTTTACCTCTGACTTCAGTGACCTCTTGGAAAAAATGATAATGTGATCTGTTCTTCCAGGTGTGTAGAGGTCTTGCCAAACAGACTGAACTGAATGACTTCTTGCTTGATGTATCGAAGTAAGTATAGAGACAGAATCACTGAATATCCTGAGGTGGGAGGGACCACAAGAATCATTGAGTCCAAATCCTGACTCTACACAGGACCACCCAAAATTCAGACCCTGTGTCTGAGAGCACTGTCCAAACACTTCTTGAACTCTGACAGTTTGGGGCCATGACCACTGTCTTGGCAAGGCTTTTCCAAAGCATGATTGCCACTATGATCTCATCAGTCTGTTTTGATGTCCCTTCCAAGCAGGGACAGGAATGAATTATGTGGGTGACAGTCAGATATAGCTGTTAAACTTTTCTGTTCTTATTGCAGGAGAATATGTAAGATACAATTACAATGTACAAAATATATTTGGTCATGTGGTCTTCTGCATGGCTGGAGGCTCTATTTTTCTAACTGTTTGTAGTATATGTTTTGTTTTTTTTTTAATTTCTCCTCACAATAAATGCAGAGATTAAGCTAAAAACACTGTAGAAGTATGAAAGTTTAGGCTTAGATTTATGAAATCAATATAATGTTCTAGGTAATTTGCTTGTCCTTCATCCCTTTATCTTTGTTGCTACTATAAGCATTTTTTAACAGTAGAGATAGCTGTAAAAATGGGCACTGAGGCATAATGCACACAGGTGCTTTAACTCTCAATGAACAGTTCTCGAGTTGATGGGATTAGCAATTGCTCTAGCAAGCAAATAATCAACTTGCTTTTAAAAATGATCCATACCTGTTCCTACATGAAAAGAAGATTTCTATTCAATGAGAAAATTGATAGCATGCAATATATCAGGGACATCTCCTGTAACATTTTAGAAAAGGCAGTGTATCTTCATGACCCTGAAAGTGTGAGACTTTTTATGTATGTACCTTTTTATTCAGTAGGCACAAACAGAAGTGAGCTGTATATATGTTCAGGGCCATGCCTGGGAACATTGTAATCCAAGGGTTATTAAGACTTGGTATGTGAAAGATTTAGAATTATTTTACTAAGATGTTTGACCTTTATCATTCAATGTTCTTGACTGTCCTTGGACAGTTACCTCTTCGCTATGAAACAGAGAATTGAGATAATGTTTTTTTTTTTTTTTTTTAATCTCTATTTTAAGTCATAATATCAGTTGTCTGCCAAGTACAACGTGCTGCATCGGGGGCAGTAGAAAATAAGAGAATACTCACTGAGAATTTCATAAGCTTTTTCTTTTTAAAAACTATTAAAAGATGGGCAATATGACGTGAATTTAGCTACACTGCATAGTATTCAGTAGTTCTCACTACATAATTCTCTATGCATAAATCTAATGAAATATTTTGAAAGCCTGTCAATAACATTTATCTGCAGTCAGAAATGGAAAAAAAAAAAAAGTGTTTTTTTTTTTTTTAATGTATTTGTTTTTGTCTTCTGGATTGCTTTTTCTTTTTGCTTCACTTTTAAAAATTTTAGGTGTGTAAAAGATGGCAAAGTATTTTGATACATTCTTGGCACTGCTCAGCAGGACCTGTTGAGTCCAAAGCAGGCAATGCTTGGTAGTCTTGTCTTTTTTTTTTTTTCTGTAGTGGTCTGTCACTGTAGAATAATGGCTTATAGGAACAGAGCTAGGACCATTTCTGAATTTTCTTGTGCAGTAGAAAGCCAGTCAATGATTTTTAGGCACAGTTGTTCTCGTCTGTTTGGGCTAAACTGTTCAGTAGCTGCAAAACAAGACCCAGCAACAATCATTTGAGAAGTGTTTGACTAAATGCAAATATTTATCAGCTTTTCTTTCTCTACAGAACGTATTTTGATAATATAGTTGCAATAGATTCTCTACTTGAACATATAATGGTAAGTTTTCTTTTTCACTTCTAATTTTGTTAATTGTTGTTATTAAAGTTCTTTATTTTCCTTTCCTTGAAGTAAGACATTGCACATCATTGAAGTGTCAGAGCTGTTTATATCAGACACGTAATGCAAACAGAATTAACATCTCTGTATGCAGGAGGAAATGAAGGATCAGCTTGATTTTGGTTGTTGCAACAATTTCGTCTCACAAGTCTCATAAGTAATCACATAACTGTCTCTGACCTGTGCATTTCTATGGTGCGTTGAAGGTTTTAAATTTGTTATGAAAAGGCTTCTGTTTTTGTTTCAGCTTGTTGTTCCTTTTTCCTAAATTCAATTTTCTATATACTGCAAAACACTTACGAAGAAATTGTCTATAGGAGGTCTAGAGTTCAAACGTTACTTCTGCAGTATTTGTTCTAGCTGTTGAGTGAGCTGTTGAAAACATGCTCATGGCATCCATTTAGCTTTGCAAAAGTATCTGCACCCATAGCCAGAGTAACAGTCAGTCAATATTTTATAAAAAGCATAGGAAAAAAAACCCAACAAACTTAGAAGAATAAGTCGTACATTGAAATAGTTTGTATTCTTTATTTAATCGATGAATTATAGTAAAGTTAAGAAACAGAATATAATTTTTTAATCATTTTCATATTCTGAATTATTTCCTGAATGGTATCTGCAAATATCTGTGGATTGGTTGCCTGTAGCACATTTTAAGTGTTTACTATATGAATTGTGCTTCTTAGCATTAGTCACATTCATTAAATAATGCAGTTCTTCTCCTTGATTGTAAATCTTAATCATGTCCCTGGTATTATTACTTCAATCTGCATATTCAAATATATTCACCAACAATACTTCATTGCATACCTTGATCTCCAGAGTGATACTCTTAGGCTAGAATATTCAAAGACCACAGATTAAGAATGCAAACACTGTAAAAGTGGTTTTATTTAGAAACCTGAATTAGTTATGGAAAATACTCTGCAGTGTTTGCCTTATTCTTGTTAATACATAGTCAAGACTTCTGCACATTCTGAACATTGATTTTTCCAATTCAAATGAACTGTTTAAAAATAGCTTAACATTTAAAGGAACTGGTATGATATAGTGTATGGCATTGAGAACAAATATTGACGTTCTTCCCAACTCTATGATGAGAGGTCTGGTAGAAAACACAACTGGCAGTTAAATATGCTTACTCTTTCTTCATCTTTTCCACCACTTGGCTGCATCCTGATTCTGCATTTTTAACCTGCACACAGGCTCCATTCTGATCTTCCTTTGTAATCTGTAGCAGTTGGCTGTTTCTTGGGCCAATTTGCACATTTATTACCATTTTTGGGAGGAGTGCAATTTTATTATTATGTAGCATCTTCTGTAACTCAGAATGAGGGAAGAACAACAGTAGAGTTCACCTCACTATTTCGCCCTTCAGAGACTGTACTAAAATTAGATTTTCCTATATAATAATAAAGATAACAGTACAGGGATTTTAGGATTCTTATCATTTTCATTTACATTAAAATTCCACAGTAAAGTTAATGCTATAAAGACATTCTTGAAAATAGATGCAAGGAGGAAAGCAGAAGTTACCTTTTTCTCAAAGGACCCTTTCTCTTCTTTTTTTGCCCAAGTCTACGTTCACTCCTCTGTTTTGAGCAAAGGTACAAGAGGTTTGAGTGGTCAAGACCTTTGCATTTCTTACTCCTCTAAGCAAGCAGTATTTCTCAAAAGATGCTTATTAGTTTGCAGTCTCCCTGATCTTCTCTTTGGTACTTGAGTGGATAATGCCTTGTGGGTTTTACTTAGCTGAAGGGGAACCTCTAAGTCCCAGTTTTTGTGCAAGGACTGCCACTAGCATCAGGAGATGGCAGCTATTTCCTGTGCTGCTGCACATGGCAATCCATCACGACACTTCTAATTTTCCTGTGTTTGTTTATTTTTATGTGCCACAAGCACATTAAGTTTCTTTAGAAACACACACTAGCTTCTCTTTTATGTCCTTCTTCATTGGATATTTGATACCAATCTGTTTGCACTGAAGACAAAGAAAAAAGTCAGAACTATTCTCGAGTATTTGCTATAACCTGTCTATTTAAAATTCATAGAATCGTAGAATTGTTCAGGTTTGAAAAGACCTTAAAGATCATCAAGTCCAACCGCAACCTAACCATATTACCCTAAATTATGTTAAGGTGAAAAATTTCTAAAAATAGGGAGAATGGTACCGTTCTGAAAAGCATGTGTTGAAATGGAAATGCAGCTAAATAAGAAGGCCTTCTATCTTTTAGCAGATATTCAAACCTCTAAAGAATCCCCTACATTTTACAATGAGAACAATACTATAATTAACAGAGAATACTGAAGAAAAACTACCACATTTGCCATTTGAATTTTGTGCCATTTAAAATACTGCTATGAAGGTAGATGGTGCTTAAAATAGATTTATTTATCAGATAAGTGACTGAAGTTAAGTTAACCCATGACCATTAACTTTAGTTTTATCTTTTGTCTGTAGATATATGCAAAAAACCTGGTGAATGCAGATAGGTGTGCACTCTTCCAGGTTGACCACAAAAATAAGGAGCTGTACTCAGATCTTTTTGATATTGGAGAAGAAAATGATGGGAAACCTGTTTTTAAGAAGACCAAAGAAATAAGGTGAGAGTAGCTAGCTGAAGAATGCAGTTTCCTTGTAACTAGGGCTTTGCAGGCATTTTGTTACCCAGTCGCTGTGCCTATCTGCAGGTACCCTGACAATACTTGTCATACTGTGATATCATTCCCACCAGGACCCGCCTCCAGAAGGTAGTACTTCTGGGAATGACATTGCAGTGCCATCGAAACAACGTCTCTGAAGCTATAACGTCACTCCTGGAAATGCCGTCTTCCGGAGGCGGTCCTTTTGGAAATCATGTTGGGAAAAAAACAGAGGTGTTCTGAGGTAGGTAAAGGTGCGGGTAAAGGTGCACCTAATCCGTAGATCTACCAGTATGGGATGACTTTTCCCAAGAGGGTTCCTGAGAGGAATTGAAATTCATGCTATTCAAGCACATCCCAAGCAAGGAAATGCAATTTGTACTTCTCATGGATGGAATAGGCATAGAATCTAGTATGAACTGATCATTGGTTTTGAAGATTTCAAGTTCAGTGTTTTATTCTTAATTTTTCTGAAATGAATTTAGAGTATTTTAAAACTTTTAAGGAACTGTGATTCTGAAGTATGTTTGAAATGGTGAAATTGATATGTATTTCTGTTTCCCACAAGTGTTAGGCTTTTACGTATTTTCAGTGAAGGAGGCAAAATGTCAAAATAAATGTAGCATTTTTTAGTTTTTAAAAGTGACAATTCTTTAATAGATATGCCTTGAAATTTTTAGAGAGACATGGGTTTTAAACCTGTGGCTTTTTTTAGAAAGAATGACTATATATCCTGCACCAAAATTTTATTAAAACACTCAACAGTGAACTTTTTCAGATTTTTTAAAATTCCATCTTTTACTTTTAGAATTCTGGGCCAATGTGGGATGTGATTCATATCATCACTTGAACCCCTTTTGACAAATTTGCACCCACTTATTATGTTGTATGACTGCGAATGGAAGCACTCAAAATTGGTGCAGTTTATATGCCGACAGGCAAGGAGGTGCAGTACGCTAGAGAAGGTGGCCTACTTTAACATGCACTTTTATACTCCTTAATAATTTCTTTTTTGCTTATATCTTTATCTTTCTATATGAAAATTATTGTGACTTTGAATAAGAAGGTATGAACCATTTCAAGAGTGATGTGTACTGAAAGTGATATATAACTTTAGTATCTGTAAAAGAGTAACACTGAGTCAGTCATCAGGAAAGAGCTGAAATTGGTATACTGTTCAAATAATAAGAAATAGAAACTAGACTAAAATCTGGGTGTACAGGATGAAAACTGACAGTTTTGACACTAACATCAGTAAGGGCATGATACTACCCAGGCACGTTTAGATTCAAAAATGTTCCACATATGATTGTAACTTCATATATTTTTCTCCACTAATCATTCTAGGCTTATATTTTATAATTGTTTTATGTCAATTGAGAGTTATTTCTTAGCAATAGAGACTTGTAGACTTTTCTGATTCAACTCCTGAATATGCTTGCTATATTTAATTATCTTGTGGTAATTAGTTATGTAGCTATTACCATGGTGTTGTTTGAACGTCATGAGATGAAACATGCTACTTATTCTGAAGTGTATATAGCAAATACATATGATGTTTAGCTTTGACATTTCCACTGGTCTTCTTTCAAGTTTTTGTTTGTTTGTTTGTTTTTAATCAAATCTATCTGCCCCATGAATAACCAAGTTCTGTATTGTACATGATGTGTCTAAGTTAAAAATAAATATGTAAAAGTGATGATGAAATTGATGTCTTGTAAAGGTAAACACAAGTCATAGGTATTGTTCAAACGTCATATTTCTTAGGTGCAACCCCCAGGGTTATTGAAGACATTGAATTTTTGTTACTAAAATGTCTTACCATGGCATATTTTGTTTTCGTCTGCGTATACATAGTATTTTCAGAAAGTTTTCAGAAAATATCTGTCTGAGCATGTGCTTTTTATTTTATTTACTACTAGTTGTCTTCTAGTTTTTTCTCCTAAAAGCATTGGCATGACGCTGCTCAGGAGCAAATGTCTCTTAGGCTCCAGTGGAAAAATAGCTTTCCAGATAGTTCTTAGTGTGACTAATGCACCTATTTATTTATTTATTTATTTATGATTGCAGATTTTCTATAGAAAAAGGAATAGCTGGTCAAGTGGCAAGAACTGGGGAAGTCCTTAACATCCCTGATGCCTATGCAGATCCACGCTTTAACAGGTAACATGTTATACACTAGGGGAGAAAAAACTCACCAAACTGTTATTTCCTACTTACATTTCATATTAGAGATTCATTCACTGATCTTTGATATTCTGTTAAGGAGCAAACCTATAGATATCACTTTATATACTTTCACCGTTACAGATATTTTAAAGATAAAATAATTTTAAAAAATTATTATTTTTTTTTTAATATATATGTCAGGAGAAGAATTTTATTTTTTCCTGTTACAGATTTTAAGAGTGAAAAAAAAAAAAAAAAGAAAATTTTGTTAACAAAGGACATGTGTAAGTACCTAAGCATATTTAATTTAATGAATTATCAAACTGTATAGGTAATAAAGTATTGATTATTTATCCTGCATATGGAAATGAAAGGATTAAGAATGGAAAATGGAAATGAAAGGGTTAAGAAACTGTTTCTAAATCTGACTGCGTAGATGGAAATACTTGAAAACTTTTGAGGTGAACTTTATGCATGTACTAATTATGTCTACCTTGCCACTATGTCCTATAAATCCTCTTTCCTAGGAAGCAAGCAATTGGTACTAATAAATAATATTGACTCTCTCTCTTTTTTTTTTTTTTTTTTCTCCTTTCTTTCTTTCTTTTATTTGGCCCTCCAGAGAAGTAGACCTCTATACGGGCTACACAACCAGAAATATCCTGTGCATGCCTATTGTGAGCCGAGGAAGTGTAATAGGCGTTGTGCAGATGGTGAACAAAATAAGTGGAAGTGCCTTCTCTAAAACTGATGAGAACAACTTTAAAATGTTTGCAGTCTTCTGTGCTTTAGCCTTACACTGTGCTAACGTGAGTTGTTTTCTTTTTTCTACAGTTTTCTAAAATGTTGGTTATAACATAAAGACTTAGAATCTTACTGAAGTAGTTCATCTGCTGTTTCATCTTCCAGACTATTGAAGTGATCCATACATTCTATTTCATTGAATTAATAAGGAACAAGGAGTCATTGAATTATTTGCAGAATAGTTGTCCCTTAGTGGACTGGTAGAAATTTGTTTGATGCTTCCTGAAATAATTGTATGCTATGTACTTCCATTTTATACAGCTAAACTGCAAGAGAAGACTGAAAATTGAGTACTATCTTATATTGTTTTCCACTAGAAAATATGCTTCTTATTCACCTTCATAAGTTCAGATAATATACTCAGTTATATTATTCATATATATATATATATATTCAGTTTTTGGAAATTTAATAGGAGGATGAAGATTGCATGTATTCTCTCTACGCCATAAGCTTGATATTGAAGAATATACATTGTAAATGTACACATTTATATGCTGTGATATATAGTTAGGATTTTTAATGCTAGAAAAGGGTGGATAACTACTTTCATGTTTAAACCCCATATTTTCAGAAAAAAAACCTACTATTCATGTAGAAAGTTCAAACAATTGAATGGTCATTGCTATATAAGTATAAAAATGTAATGCAGAATAAATCACTCATATTAATAGGAGGTAAGATAGTATGTCAGTTAAGCCTGGTGGTTTACATGAAACCATTTTGCATCATACTGCCATTAAACTGAAGAAGCAGATTTTATCTAAATTTACTTAAATCTTATTCCACATGACTCAAGGCAAGTAAAGAGGCCAGCATATAAATTAAATCTGGGGCTACGTGATCATTCTAATGTGTGCAAGTTCACTCATTCTAATAGTGTTTCTTAATATTCAAGAGCACTACTTTTGCTGTGTCCTCACTTGTTCATAAACCATACAGTGTTTGCAATAGCTGTGTGAAACTCTCAGTTAACTACAAAGAGTACTTATTTTTTTAGTACCAAACTTCAACATAGAATCATAGAATTACTTGTATTGGAAGGGATCTTCAAGATTATCCAGTTCCAATCCCCCAGTGTGCACAGGGCTGCCACCAACTAGGCGAGGTTGGCCCAGGACACTAACTAACCTGGCCTTGACTTCCTCCAGTGATGTGTAAAGTTGGGCAGCCAGAATCACAAATATTTTTTGTAAATGAATGGTTTAAGAATAAGTGCTTGAATACAGGAAGGAAATGCTTTTTTCCTTGATTGAAATCTCACATTAATGTATGACTTCCCTTTTTCAGATGTACCACAGAATTCGCCATTCAGAGTGTATTTACCGTGTAACAATGGAGAAGCTATCATACCACAGTGTTTGTACTGCAGAAGAGTGGCAAAACCTCATGCACTGTACACTGCCTCCACATATTTATAAAGAAATTGAACTGTAAGTACTTTTTCAATATGCAAACAACTGCAACCAGTATCTGTCTGTGAAAAAAATGATTGGTTTTCCCTAAGTATAGTGGAGGATGTTTAAGGAAGCACTTGTATTGTAGAGCTAACCCAGTATCCTAGGTGTTTATCTATCTAATACACAGTTAAACTTCTTGACCTGTGAACAAAATGTATTTCTCAAAGGTGTAAAATTATACGTTTTCAGAGTGGTAGCATTTTCCACAGCTATATGTACAGCAGTTACATTAGTTTATATGAAAGCTTTGCAAAGATGAGCTAACTTTTCAGAAGTCCTAAGTCACCAACAGCTCAGAGCCCCAGAGGAGGCTGAATCGGTATATCAATAGTTAAGAACAATAGCATGATGTCACCACTTCTTGTATGTTTTAGAGTAAAAGATTCAGCTCCTTCCTGTTTTTTTTTTTTTTTTCTTTCTTTTTTTTTCACATTTTTGTGTATGTGTTTCATGCCTCTGCCTGTATTTCTTGAAGGAGGGGAAAATGAATATAGATCTCTAAACTTCTGAAGATGATTCAGGACTGTGAATCCCTGGTAGTAGGCTTTAAAGTTAGGGTCTAACTTCAGAGAAGGACTTGCCATCCTTTAGTCTACAGTATCTGAATAGTCTTAAGTTTTCTCTGAAATAAGTTGCTGTTAGACCTCAAGGGTCTGCCAAGTACTGAAGATGTGCTTTTATCTGTGTTAGATTGGTGGTGCTAACAATGTGACTCATCTGAGCTTTTAAGTCACTGTTTCTGGCAGGACAGTAAATTCTGCTGTAGTGACCGGGTGCCTCAAATCAAAACTTTACAGTTCTGAGTCAGAAAGTCTAAACTGTTTTTCTTAACTTAATCTCTAGAGCTCACTCCTGTCAAGTGCTGAGACTGTAGCCACGATCAAACAAATCATGCAAGCATCCACTTAACAGAGACTATGGTTAAAGTTCATTACATGCTGAAGTGATTTGCTTGAAAGCCAGTGTATTAGCAGCTTGCAGGATTATGCCCTAATATAATCTTACTCTTTGCAATACAGTTTCTTGTACTTTGTTAGATGACATTATATAACCCACCTCCTTACTAAAATGATTTTTACTTTTAAAGATGGCAGGTTTCATTCTAAATTATATTCACATCCTTTCGTTTGAGGGCTCTGAATGCATTTAACCATTTTCCATGCAATTCAGCTGCCTTTAGCTCTCTCACACCTGCTGTGCTGTTTGATATGCCACATACATGCACAAATGTTTAGCTAGGTTCAGTGGAAAGTAAATAGAAGACTTGTGGCACAGCAGGTGCAGGGAAAGGGGTTAATTAATAATAGAAGGACAAACAGTTCTGCTGGTCATGTCCCTAATGTTAAGTCTAAATGTTGATATTGAGAAGAAATAAATCCTTAGCTCATGAAACATAAAAAATGCTGTATCCAATGCTGGATTTTTTAAGTTTGTGCTCAATTTCTATTAGCCTGTAAATGGTGACTTCAGCAAAATTAGACCAAGTCTCATCAAATTTTTGACAGAAATTATGTGAAAAAAGCCAGTTAATATATTATTAGATACATCATTTACACAGTTCATGGGAGGAAAGTGATTTTAGGAGTCAACACAGATTTTTGTACATTACTTAAACGACAGATTCTTAAATAAATATTTATTTTTCTATGTGTTAGGCAAAGCCAAAGGCTAACCAACATAGTTTCCTTGAACTTACTAGAAATATATTTATCTACACTGCTGGAAGATATAGCCTGTAAAGTCAGTTTTCTATGTATATTCAGAAACAAGTAAATGCTGTCAGATTCACATTATCTAGTAATTTTCACTTGCTTTTAGGAAGAATGAAAGAGCATTTGTTCTCACTAAGGTGAAACTTTCTTCTTAGGTACCACTTCGACATCAGTCCATATGAGGATGTCTGGCCTGCCATTTTTGTCTACATGGTTCACCAGTCCTGTGGGACGGCCTGGTATGAACTATATGATTTATTGCTTTAACTCCGTTACTTATGGTTTTATTTATTTTGAAATGTTAAGTTCATTATTTTCTCATGCAGCATCTTGAACTCCTTTGGAGCTTATTTGCTTTGCCTGATCTGTACAGGACTGTGAAAAGCAAACTAAACTTCTTGCCCTAGCTTCTTGGTCTTTCATTCTTACTATTTGTGAACAGCAAGGTGAAAGAACTCATGATATTGTCTGAACAGTTGTCCTTCCTATACGTAGAAGTATTGTTTGGTTCTGAGTTGAAATTGGTTTCTTTTGCTTTTCAATCTGAGGGTTGTGAAGATATTAAAGGTACTTTTGTTAAAATCAATTATCAGCATAATTGTGCTTTAATTATGGAAGTGAGCAATTTCAGAATTAAAAGTCATTTCGTTTACTGTCCTTTCTCTCAGTATCTGTTACCATTGCCAACATCAGCAGTCCCTTGACCAAGTATATTCCCATTGCTTAGAGAAAGGAACTTCATCACATTGTGGAAAAATTTATAAATAGGCAGTTGAGAAGGGAAATATTTTCCTGCAAAACTACATTTATTGGTGGCTGTTTCATCTTAATAACTGGGTGAATTTCCATGTCCTCAAAACATAAATATTGTCAAACCTGGAGATCTTTCTCTTCTCTTCAATACTGCAAAGCGGATGATTGGTCTAAGTGTAGTTCTGTACTGCTCAATATAATTAGGTTATTTCCATTCCTGAAAGAATGGCTGGGATTCAAGATTTGGGTTCAAGTTTTCATTTCTATTTTTTGCCTCTATCATTATTGCTTTTTCAAGGTGTAACTTTGATGGGAAAGAATTGCTATCTACATGATATTTTTTCAAATGAGTCTCAAATCTCACATACAAAATTAAAAAAAACAAAAGTGAGAAACATTTGAAGATGAGACTGTTGGGACTGATAGACTTGTATTTAATTTCTGAAGTAACAAATAACCTCAGCTCTCCATAAAGGACTTCAAGAACTTTGCAGCTGTTTTAGGACTAAAATTTGATTTCAATTATATTGAAGAGATTTTTCCTTTAACACCTTAATACACTTGTGTAATCTGTAACTGTCTTGCACAGGGAGGATTTTTTTTTTAAGAAAAATTGTTGATACTCATTACGATTTCTGTTCTCTCATGAAACAGTAATCTTTTACTACTGTAATAATCCATACAAAATGAAGTTTTGGAGGAATTAGTAGTAGTCTACATTGAGGTAACATTGGTAATGATTTTCTCTTTGGCTTCAGTTGTTCTATTGAATAGATATTGGATGGATATTGTATGCAGTTGAAAGCAACTAGTGTGATTTTGTGAGTTGTGATGCAGTGTTTTAAACAGTAATTTTAACAATTACATCAGAGGTGTCTGACTTAACTTTCTGGAATGAAAAGTTAACTCTAAAGCTATTTTTTAAACACTATGCCTGTATTTTTACTAATATCATGTTCAGGCTAAAGCAGAAGAATAATTACCTTTCTCAGCACGTAAACATAGAAATATATTTTCTCTAACTAGGTCTGCATAGTAAATTTGTGTTCACAGTTTTACCTGATAAACTAGAGATATCCAGCTTTACTTTCTCAGCTCACATACACTACATTAATACTCCTTCCATGAGATATACAAGAAATAATGAAAACATAAATCTGTAAACAAAAGGAATTCTTTCTTTTCAAATGCTGTATAGAGCTCTGATACTGTGGGATATAACTCTTGGAAGTGTTCTTAAGCCACATAAGCCAAGCATAACTATTATTTAACTACTTTGTAATATTACTTTAATGAAAATATTTTTGATTTTGCTTGCATATGTTAATATAGCAAGATAAAAAAAAATCATTTATAATGATATCATGTGATGAAAATGGAGAAACACTGAAATGTTTTGTTTTGTTATGTTTTTTCCATTATGTCATTATGGAGAATCTTTATATCTTTTATTCAAAACAATTTTTGTATTGGCACCTCACTGAAATGTTGTTTTAAACAAGAACATTTCTTCAATGTTTTTGCATAAAATCTTCTAGTTTCATGTTTTGAAAATATTTTACAGTTAGATTATTAGACAGTTTTGATATTTTATAGGCTGAATAGGAAACCTTCAAGTGATTTTTCTTTATCTAAGTTTATGTAATTGTTTTGCCTGAGCTGGATGCCTTGAGCTGTGAGTTTTGTCAAGCATCTGCACATTTTTGTCCTTACCAAAACTTGAATGCTCTCATAATCATTTCTTCCCAGCAAGGAATAAATGCAAGAACATCTTTTCCTACTCTGTTCCTTTTTTTTTCCATTCTTATTTCTCATCTCTCACCAAACTGATTTCTTTCTAGCTTTGAACTTGAAAAGCTCTGCCGATTTACTATGTCTGTGAAGAAGAACTATCGTCGTGTGCCCTATCACAACTGGAAGCATGCAGTTACAGTTGCACATTGCATGTATGCCATACTTCAGAACAACCAGGGGCTCTTCACTGATCTGGAGGTAGGTGTGATGACTGTATCAGTTACTAGATCTCATTAAGAAGTACTGACTATCTTAAATGATCTTCTGTGCTTGAGTTTTCCTGTCAGCTTAGGATATAAAGGATCTCATGATTTCTGCAGAGGAGTTGATGTGAGCAGGGAGCTTAAGGAAGGAGAATTCTTCAAAGTCTGTTTCCGTCACAGCAGTAGCAGATTTGCTGTCTCTGTTTATATTTTAATGTTCTCCCTGTTCATCTACAACCATAATCTTTATTTTAATTTAATGTCAGATCTGCACTGAGAGGAAGGAAACACCTTGAATCTTGAACTCTGGGAGATCTGTGAGATTCTGTGTAGGAGAAAAATTGAGAAGGGCTTCGTGTCACAGAGATAGTTGGCATATATGAGTAAAGGAGTAGAAAGGGTGGAAGGAAAGTGGTTGTCTGTGTTTAGTCACTGATTAACTTCTATTATATAAAAGTTTTCTTTAGTGTGTGTGTGTGTGTGTGTGTGTGTGCATCTTTTTTAAGATAGTTGCAAGGAGTTCAGAAAAATAAAAATATATATACCTTAATTAGATCACTGTGAAAGTTCTGGTAATAAAACAGAAGGCTTATATGGTTAGGTGTTAATACACACTATAAAGAGAGGCTGGTTGATTTTTGCCTATATTGCTGTAGGTGCAGCTGAGAGTGATGTTTATTATAAACGCTGCCTGAAACTTCCAGGCTGGAAGAACCTGTTTTAGGTTGTGTATAATTTTGCCGAATACTGACCACTTGACTTGTAATTTCCAAGATTCCAGGCTTCATCTGGCTAATAGATTCATTTGGGAAAATTTCAGTCAAAATTGTTTACTAGAAGTATGTTTGGAAAAAACATATTCTTGTTCAGCATATAAATATAATATAAAATTAAATAAAGCCCAGTTGAAAATGTTTTAGCAAATTCTGCTTTAAAAAAGGTCTTGAAAAGTCGCTCTGCAATAAGAAAGTGGCATATGCCAGGCTCATACTGTAAGTCAGCAAAATTATGCAAGTTTGAAAAAAATGATGTTCCTTTAAAAACAAAAATCTGCAGATTTGCACAACTGGAGAGTAGTTAAAGGCCTCTTAACTTCCAGTGCTAACCAAGTAGTTGTGTAGTAGTGCTTAAAGCCGGCAATGTATGCAAGAAACTGCTCAAGTTCCTTCCTGAAGCAGAACCCCTCCAATAATGTGATTGTGAAATGTTTTCTAACTTATAAGGTATAAAAAGGTCTGAATTTCAGACAGAAGATTTTAATTCTGTATTTCCTCACTTCTTTGTTTCTTGAAATGTTGATGAACATTGCTGTGCACTATTTAAAGGCAGTGTAACACTAGTCCAACGTTTACAAGTATTTTGTGAGGACAGTGACATCTAGGGGCAGAAAATGCATCTTAGTTTTCTTGTTCATCTCTTTTTTTTTTTTTTTTTTTTCTTTTAGCGGAAAGGTCTTTTAGTTGCATGCCTATGTCATGACCTGGATCACAGAGGTTACAGCAACAGCTACCTTCAGAAGTTTGATCACCCTCTAGCTGCTCTCTATTCCACATCAACAATGGAACAGCACCACTTCTCACAAACTGTGTCCATCCTGCAGGTAGGGTTAATGTGTCTTCTGTGCAGTAGTGTCCAGTGGTGAATATATGAGTCACATCATTACCAAGTAGATTTTATAAAGCATGCTTAATTTACTTTCTGGATCGTAGTGCTCATCTGGAAGTACAGACAAGATTTGCCTTGATTTATTACAGCAATCTAAGGTCCCAAGCATTCAATATTAGCAAGCCAAGCCTTCAGTAATAGTGCAAAACATAGCTTTTCCAAAATCTTGATGTTACAAAAATACTGTGCACTTTAAGGTCTTTTAGTAAAGATCTTCCTCTGAATATAATAGCTTCTGGGTCAGGGAGGATTTCCCTTACAACCGTATACAATGGGAACTTCAAAAATGGGAACAGTCACAGTTCAAAAATGAAAATAAGTTTCTCGCTTAGTTATATATTTTCAGTAGAATGTGTTTCAACAATGTCTTCAACTGTCCTGAAATTCTGAATAAAAATTAAAGACCTGACAAACATTTGTATGAGAAGCTTAAAAACCTGCTGTAATAAATTCCATGAACGTTAAATGTGTGGCATGAAGTGTGTCTTTACCTAGAAGCAAATGGTAATTTTGCACGCATGAAAAGTTTAAGCCTATTTTATTATGTTATGATGTACTCTTTTGTTCTTCAGCAATTGGGAAAAAAGACCAGTAAGGTAATATTCTGTGATAGTTCAACTATAAGGTAAAGTATCTGCATGTTTAATTAACAGAAAGCTAGAAGAAAGCATGCAGATACATTTTGGGAAATCAAAGTGTGTTGCTGACACACAGATGTTTTCTCCTTGGTGAAAAAACTGTTCACGTTCATTTTGAGGATAAAACTCTCACCTATGAAACAGCTGCCAGTGCATAATGTACTTGTGCTGGCTGTTTTTCCTTTACTGTGCACACGCCCAATGCATAGCCTAGCCATGCTACTGATTCTGCTAACTAATTCATTGTTAACTTCTCTTTCTTTCTGATCTTTCAGGGGGAAGATATTTATTTTCTTAAATATCTAATCACCTTTTAGGATTATACGTATTCTGTATTATATTCAGAAGCACATCTTGTGATTATGGTTTTAGGTATCATATACATTTCATCAGGGAATGGAAGCTTTATCTCTGAATATTCCTCATGTGTGAGGATGTAATTGAATCCTTCAGTGGTGGTATGGCATTAGTTTTTTAGTATTCATTCTTCATGTGTTTGTGCACAGTAGTCCTCAGTCCAGTAGCATTTCTCTGTCATACTGTGGCTATATGAAGCAGAATTCAGTAATTCTTTAGTGAACGTTTTGCATTTATACTGCAGAAATGCAATGGAAGTTGCATTTACCAAAAAAATGGGGAATCTTTGGCCTCTCTGCTGCCTCTTATCCTTGTCTGTCACAGCCAGCTGAGTGTGAGGAAAGACGGATAAGTATTAGGTCTCTAGAGTAGCTCAGATACTGACTGTCCAAGTCAGTACTAAACATTACCTGTTTGGAAGTACAGGCGTAGTAGATCAGCTTTTTGGACTTGTTTTGATATTGAATCAAATAGCCTTTCTGTTTACTTACAAAACTGTTACAGAAGAAAGAAAGAAAAAAAACCCTAAAACATAACATTAAAAAACAAACAAACAAAAAAAACAAAAAACAAAAAACAAAAACAAGTAGTCCTTCAGGATTTATCTTAATGAGTTTTAATTTTATGCTAATAACCTGCAATAGTTTTCACTTGAACCTTTATAGCAACTTTGTTCATTCACTTGTATTTCTGGTTTATGCCATAACTTACAAATATGGAAGATTCCATTCACTAGCTCTTGCTCAATGGGGAAGGAATAAATTCTTAGGAGCTATACTTTACACGTACTATGCAAAAGCCTATATAACATGCTCAGAACCAGCAGCTTTCATTTGTACTTAATGACAACAGTGTTTTCTAGTACAATGAACAGGAGCTGTCACAGTGGTCTTCCCCGTGTCACAGTTTCTAAAGCCTAGATAAAAGTCATAGATCCAAGTCTAGCATAATTTAAGTTTCAAGGCACATACTGTGTACTTATGGATTAGGTAGCACATCTGGGGAGGAAAACTCCAAAACCCCAAATCATGAAAATAAATAGTAGTCATTTCCTTGTCCCAAACTGTTGATGATGAGTTAACATGTTCTGAATTTTTTTTTTTAACATTGTGTACTATGGCTCAGACAGCTGTCAAAGGAGCATTAAGAAAGACAGATAGAGTGCATTTTCTATTTGTTATTCAGAACAAATCTTCTTGTCCAAGTAAAAAATGTTGGAAAACGACATTTATGTTCTGAATGGTGAAAGAAACCAAGTCTATTTGTGCCACAGAGGAATTATTTTGAACAAATTATGTAAATGCTTGACAAGTCGGGGAAACATTTGATGAGCTTCAACTCGAATGCCAATTAAATGTCAAAACACATCTGCATTTGATATATTTTAATCATATTTTGTATTTGTGAATGTCCACACCTTGACACGACTGGCTCATTCTTTTGTATTTCTGTGTTTCCTCTCAACAGTAGGGAAGACTTTTGACAAGTTGCTTTCAAAAGCTTAGAAAAAGTGAACGCTGTTGACTTGACTTAAAATGTGATACGAAGCTGTGAACAGTCACAGGACATGGATATTGTCAGTTAAAAGTGAAATAATATATAGTGGAAACTGAAAAGGAATGACAGCGGTATGTTGCCAGAGCCTCCATAGTGCAAAATGTTTTCTTTAGTTTGTAAGTCAGTCAACTTAAGGTTGAATAAAGCAGGTTTTTTTTTTCCTCTGAATGTTCATATACATTAGTGGACCGTAATTAAGCTTACTTCTAAAGAGAACATTTTATCAGTAAATGCAATAATTGTAGGCACGTTTCATTTGCAACTCTCTGAAACCAAGATTATCTTAGAGTATTAACTTGGCTATTTCATTGTCTGTAGTACTTGTTATGCAATATCAGAAATGGTTCTTCAAAGTGAATCAGGCATTCATGTTACCAGCTTGACAATGAAGTACTCTGGATCAGGATTAAATCACAAGTTCCCGGGCTTATACTATTAGGAAATACTGTATATACAGTGCTTATAAATTATAGCAGAAAAAATCTAGCATTTTTCTCTATCAATATCTTCAGGCTTCAGAAGGAGCAGTCCCAAAATCAAATCAGTGGTTTAGTCATAGTTTCATGAGACCATTTAAAAAGCAAAGATAAAAATGGGAATTTGCAACAAAAATTGTTATTGGTTGTAAAACTGTTGTAACCTGTCTGGTGAAGTAAAGACTGAAATCATCTCAGAATTAGAGCTTGTGCTTTTTATTGGTTTTTTACTTTTTCATAGCTGGAAGGGCACAATGTCTTTTCCAATCTGAGCTCCAGTGAATATGAGCAAGTACTTGAGATCATCCGGAAAGCCATCATTGCCACGGACCTTGCCCTGTATTTTGGAAATAGAAAACAGCTTGAAGAACTACATCAGGCAGGAGCATTAAACCTTAAGAACCAAGCACACAGGTAAAGCGACAGACCAGAATTTGTTCATCAGAGCGTTAATCCTGGTGCACGTTATTTCATTTGGATTTCTTCTGCATAGTTCACTAACAGCTTATCAGCAGTAGAAAGATAGTGCACAGGCAGTTAATTGGTGGGAGAAAAATGAAGTGCAATAATTATGTTATTTGTTGTATCATTCCTCTTTTTTTATTTTATTTTTAAGCATGTTTTTTGAAAGATTGTTCCTTACTAGAAGCAAAGTTATTTTTACTTAATCATTGAATGGGAAAAAATCTCTTAGCTTCTCCATAAAGCACTAACAAACCCAAAACGTAATTTAATTGCCAGCTCAGCTGCTGATTTCACATAACATTCTGACTTGATGAACCAGTTGACTCTAGAAGAAATCCAAGCCAAACAGAGAAATAAGAGAGAACTGTATTTTATTCTTTGTGAATTAAGATAGCCCTAAGTTTTAAAACTACACAAAATATGCATATATTGATGTTCGTGTATACATAGCTCTTTTGATCCATAAAAATGGAACATAGTATATCCTGAATGACAGATATGTCCCATAACAAGGTTGATTAAAATGTTCATACAGCACTACCATACTCCCTTCATTGCTGCTGTACTGGAAAATTGATGGATCTTGTCTTGAACTAAGGCACAGCAAAATTTGAAAGGTGATACAGCAAGATATTAAGTCATATTTCTGATTTCGTTTTGAAAGGAGCTTCAATGCTTGGATCTCCTTTAACTATCTGAGGGATTTTACAAGTTTTGGCAGTAGTTTTTAATAAATTATCACAACACTGTTGGAAGTGCTTTTATTAAAAGCTTAACTCACAGTATGAAATTGAAGTTAATTGAGCTTGAAAAAACATCAGTATCTCAAAAAAGACAAAGGTATAGTAGAATAGGTCCTGATAACTTCAAAATAAAGCTTATGATGAATATTGAACTTTGGGGTTATAAAGTTTGAATAGGCAACCTTTTAGACTATGATTGAATATTCTATTATATTTTTTATCCTACCTGCTCCCTTAGAGCATATTCAGTGCAAAATCATACACCCTGTAATATGACATTAGTTTGTAATACAGCTAAATAATCTGTGCCTTTTAGTTTCTATCTTAGAGCAAAAGAAGTCATGCACACTAGATTGCTAAATTTGGCATTTATGTGTGTGATTAATCCTCATTTATAATGCAGGGAAATTATAGTTTGTCATTTATCTATTAATTATATTGTGAAGATGTGCGTTTTCTATGGTAACAAGTCTGTTCACACAGCTTCTATGACTGCTGTCATATTGGTGTGAAAGTTAGTAAATTATTTGTTCTTTACGTGTAACACACACTGACAAAGATGCAGGTGTCCTTAAGTGCCATCTTAATTACTCCAGAAGTTGGAAATCACATTAATTAATTCATTTGTGTGACAGTTTTCTTTATACAACTTAGACTTAAGCACTGTATATCTAAGGAGTAGAAGACAAGTGTTAGAAAATAGTTTTAAAAAATTTTGTGTGTTTTATGCCAATAAGCTTCACAGTCCTGTGAATCTTGTTCAATTAGTCTGTGAAGAGGCTAGTCAGTGTAGAGGACAGAGTGATGTGTGGAAATCTTGTTCTGTTGGATGTGGAATTCATTCCAGTAAAGCAGCAACTTTTAAAGCGGCTTAGTTGTACTCTGATGACTTCAGTATTGGGGCTGTTGTGGAGACCTCACTTTCTATAGCTCCAATATTTCTTTAGCAGAGCTTGCATTTAGATCAACTACATCTGATCCAATGTTTTCTAAGACAGATCTTGAGTAATTTTTTCAGACAGAAATTGAGTTAAACAATCCAGACACTAGCTGTTGCCAGAAGTAGGAACATTGACAAAATACTTTTGAGAAGAGAAGGAATAAGTGAGAGCTTACCTGTAAATGGGGCTCCTTGAGAGAGACTTAGAACTAGTGTTTCCCCTTTTTGGAATATGTGTTCATTTCACTTGAAAAAATGGAAAGAAATACAGCAACAGGATATGCTGTCTTTCTTTCTGTAGACTTGTACTTCATTTTCAGAAAATGAGGAAGGTGTAGCAGTTTCTTAACAGGCATTCTTGTGTGCATTCCTGTGAATGTAATTATATGGAGGATAGTCTGTGAATTCTGGTTGCAAGAAATGTTGTGACATTATAGAGAATATACAATTTTTGTGATGCCTTACTAATAGATCATAAGTGGAGAAGGAAAGAAGGTGGGAAATATTTTGTAGTTTTTTTACCTTATTGCAGATGGAACTGAGGAAGGAAAAATAGAAACTTGGAATATGGTAATTAAGCCTTTACCAAACTTAGTTTACTGTTATTTTATTCTAGAGACAGAGTGATTGGACTGATGATGACTGCTTGTGATTTGTGTTCTGTAACAAAACTGTGGCCAGTTACCAGACTGACAGCCAATGACATATATGCTGAGTTCTGGGCTGAGGTATGTATGTTTCTTTTGTTTTATTTCCTCTATTTACAAATGAAAATATTTGGGAGGAAAATTAAAAACAAGAAATTTGCCACAGATATCTTAACATATTAAAGGCTGTTCTTTGACGCATGCTTTTGTGTTTCTTTTTTTAATTTACTTAGACACTTTATGAAAATCTAAATTAGCTTTCTAATTTTCAAGCAGTAATTTTTCTTTCTGTTAAAAATGAATTTGGGAAGTATATTCTAACATACATTGACTTAGCAACAGACTATACAAGAAAATCTCTACCTTGTTTTGAGTTTAAGGTGAAGGACCTATTTCTGGAGAGAAATCCAAAATATGAAAACAGCTTCCAGGCCAGCTGCCTTAAAACACAGTCTGATAAAGCTACAATATGAATCCAAGAAGTGCTAAAGCAAATTTGACAAACCTTAATTTTTTTCTGATCTCAGTGTTTGGAAATTTGTGAGCCAGATCAACAACTGGGCCTCAGAGAAGGCAAGCTGATTTTTAGTATATTGAAAATTACTCCACAGATAAGGTGTATTGAGAATTGAAACATGACATTGAGCTGTGCTAAAGTAATTGTGTCCATAAATAAAGATACAATCTCTAACATTTCTTTTGTCCAGGATTAAATATTCTAATTGTTTATGTTTTAAAGTGCAAAAGTAACAACTTTGGGGATATCAGGAAAAAAATGGGGGTGTTGCATAGAGTTGAACTATGTAGTTTTAGAATATTTAGTCTTTTTTCAAAACTGTTATTGCACGTGTCATAAAGTTTTGCTCTTTTCTGTTATGTGTCATGTGAAAGTCAGCAGAATTCAGTGGGTTTCTTTCGATCTTATATAGGCATAAAATTGAAATCAGGCCCATGGAGTTGTTGCTGTATGCATGTAATATGGAGGTTTTTGTCTTGCCTTGTGCATGCTAATTATGGAATTAAAGATAGGCATTGCATGTGTTTGTGGTTTTTCTGTATTTAAAAATTCTAGTTCCTTTAGCTATGATCAACTCAGACTACAAAAATATCTGTGAAGTGTAAACTTTATAAGCTCAAGAATAAAGTTTGTTTCTGGAATGTCAACACTGGCAAATGAATGTTCTTGTAAGCGATATAATGGAGGAATACTGTTGATATCTCTCACTAATTACAGACTTCAACGTGTTTGGTTTTCAAGACTTAAAAAATAAGTCTGATCTTTAATAATTTCAGGAAGGAGACAATCCTCAGCCTCTCTTGGAATCCTGTTCCAGTGTCTCACCACCCTCACAGTAAAGAATTTCTTCCTAATAGATTATGTCTGTTGTGATTTTTTTGGTGGAATATGAGACACTAGGCAGTCGCTAATCTTTCTTCAGTGTTTTCTAAGTAATGTATTGCAAGTCACTCTATTTCTGTATCTGTTCTGCAAGCTACAAGAAAAATTAATTAGGATTTCTTTAACATTCTTTGTGATCATATTCATAACTATGAGGATATAGGTAGTATTTTTATAGCATCCTTTGTCTAGCAGTGTTTGATATATATGTTTGCATGTATTGAATGCAAGAAAACTTGTATTTCTAGTATTTGTGTTCCAACTAAAGAAAAGAAAACACTTTTTTTGCTATGCGGATTGTCAGCCACTGGCAGTGGTCCCCTAAAGTAGTTGTGGTACCTCCATCATTGGAAATATTCAAAATCCAAATGCAAAGTCCTGTAAAACTTGCTGTCAGTGACTTAGACTGGAGTGGGTAAATGGAATGGACCGGTTGATCCGAAGAGTTCCTTTCAAATCTAAACAATTCTGTGATTTTTTGGATACCTTTTTCTTTCAAAATACAATAATGAACATAATGAACATAATTCTGAACTTTCTTCATTTTTTTTCCTCAGAGCTGACTTTGATGGTTAGTAATGGATGAAATAGGAAGAGGTAGTTTGTTTGTTTTTTTTTTCCCACACAACAAAGATCTGGTCTTTGAATTATTGCTGTTCTCAGAGTATCCTTCTTATGCGCATAGATGCATTAATGTACTTAAGAAGGCTGCTTGGCATGCAATTTTATCAAAACATGCTCCTCATCTTTGGTAGAAGAAACTGGTTTGTTGACAAAGAGGGTACATTGTAAATTCATCTTCCTCAATCAGCTTTTCCTTGGATAGGTGAGTTGTGTTGTACTGGTAATTGTATTATAGTGCTTTAAACAGGTAACATTTTCAAAGGTGAGAATATCTATGAGTAGAATAGGTAAATCTGATTTATTTGGTCTTGTTTTCTTCCTTCCAGCTGCTCCTTATTATGGATAGGCCTTTGCAAAGAAGGAAAATATGAGTACATTGAGTCAAAAAAATAGATCCTCACCTTAAGCATTTTTTTGAGATTGAGTAATTCTGATAGCTTGCATTATTTTAAATTCTGGATTTTCAGATCCACATGCAATACGAAATGGGAAGTAATTCTGATCTTAGTACTTTTAAATTTTGTTTTGCTCATCTCTTTTCTCCAGGGCGATGAAATGAAAAAGACAGGTATTCAACCCATTCCTATGATGGACAGAGACAAGAAGGATGAAGTCCCTCAGGGTCAAGTATGAACTCTCTCTGTAAAATGATACTTGTTTTATAGTGTTTAAAAAAAAAAAAAAAAAGTATTAAAAAACATTTTATGTATTAACAAATGTTGCATTTTATTCCAAGGTATGTGGGTTGCTAAATTCTATGCTTTGTACACAAAATAGAATGTTGTTTTTGTTAAGCAGCAACAGAAAATTTGTTTTCAGAGATGTTACTGAATTAACAAAATGCTTTCTGTTTCTGTCTCAAGTTACTATACAACATAACTGTACTTCCTTTATAATAATAAGGCTTAAGGAATGATTTAAACTTGATACAGTCGATATTTCTGACATGGAAATGATCATGCAGTTTCAGTAAGAAAAATTGACGTCTTTCTTCTGGTTATATATTAGTGCTCTTTTTGTTCTCATAATTCCCATTGCAGCAATGTTATCTTCTTACCTTCCATTCTTATCTTGCCATTCTTTCATTCCTCTTAACAAAAGCTCTGTGAATAGGTAGCAGGCCTCTGGCAAAATTGTATATTTGAAAGCTTGAGAAACTTTTGGATACATTATGTTCTTCCCTCTATGGTAAAGTCGGTAAAAGAAGGTCAAAAAAATAATAATACTAAGGAATGGTAGTCTCATATGTACAGTCAAAATTTTAAGAAGTATCAAAAACCCAAAAGACTAAATTTATGACAAGTTAGAGAACTGTGAATACTGGCCACAGATTTGAAAAGGCAAATGTTACTCTTCCAGCTTATGGTCAGATATTTAATATATTGTGCCATTGTAATGTGTGAATAAGTTCATGTGTTCACTGGCATTAACGAAAGGCATGTGGATTAAAGAATGTCTTCATGATAAATCAATAGTTAAAAACTAACTTGAGTGTGCAGCTGTAGCTTCTGTATCTCACAACAGTGTTACAGCAAAATGTGAGATTGAGAACATAGTTCAGTGAAAGTAACCATGCCTGTGTTCCTGTAGAGGCAGAAGAATTTAATGAAGCTTTATCATCCGTTTCCTTAGGCTCTAACAGAAAGTATTAATGAGTTTAGGATCCTGTATTTTTATGTGGATTTTAATTAAAGCATTAACACCTTATTTAAATGACAATTATGTTTAAGAAAAGAGGATTTGTATAAACATGCAATCTCTGAAAAAATAATTATGCCTCAAATACTTATCTTTGATGAAACTAGTTTGTAGTTGGCATTTTCTCTCACTTGGGTACTTAGATCAGTCAGCCTCTGTTGTGCTCTTCTTGTCCTTTTAAGTACAACTCACTTAGGGTCTCTGAGTTTGATGTCTTCCTACTGTAGAGCCTGCAGTGAGGATTTATTCCTGACTCAGTAAGGATCCCATCACCCTCTTTTTCTGCTCCTGGCTTGAGAATTAAGCAGTGTTTGTGGTCATACCAAGATATCACACTCGAAGGGTATTTTCTTGGCTTCTACTGGATCCATGAATGTCTCTCATCTTCACAACCTAACAGTTTTGAAGTCTTTGAGGAGAATAGAAATGTCAAAACTATGCAGTGACTCCAACCTCCAACCATTCAAAACTTAGCTCAGAAATTTATTTATTAAGATTCAAAATAAGAAGTTTACTTTTATGGAAGAATTAAAATATTAGGAGTGATTTCATATTTAAAATGCTTCAGTGTGAATGTTAAACATCCAGCCGTCAAAGCTATAAATATATTTAGTATGCACAGTGAAAGAGACAATAACAACTCAGAGCTTCAAAAAAAGATGCCTCATTTCAAATACTAGAGCTACAAAAAGAAGATTGGTTGGAACATACTGTAAATTTATTTAGTTTGGTTGATGTCTTTCACATTTTGCAGTGGCAGCACGCTTCTCATTGAGAAGTCTACAGTGTGACTGTACCTATCATCCCACTCATGATTTTTTTTGCCAGATATGGAGCAATCTGCTGTTTTCCAGTAAAATGAAACTAGCTCCCTTAGCAACCCAAGAACCAAAAAAACTCAGATGAAAAAAAACCCCGAAACTCATAGGACGAAAGCAATGCAGTATGCAAAACAGAAAACTATTTCTTTTAAGATGAACAGACATGATGATGAACAGACAAGCCTTGCCTTCTGGCCTAATGCAGTTCCTTTCTATCAGTTACACTGTAATTACTTTAAATCTGACAGAGGTTCTTAGGTCAGAAAAATGTCTCTTTTTTAAGTACAAAATGGACTGTTTACGTAGTAGTGTGGGTGGAATCTTTGTATTGATGGAGGTAAAGACAACAAGGACAAGAGTTACTTTGATTTCTGAAAAAGAACCAACGTTTAAACTATTAAAATATTTTTTTTTTAATCAAATGTTTTGGTTGCAGTACAGCATGTCACATCACTGCAAAGCATTTAAAATTCTAAGAAAGGAAACATGGGGCACTATAGTGACTATCATGAGAATCTAGAATAAATGAATGATGTTATAGTGAATTTGAATTTTAACTGTCATCTTTGATTATAACAGTAGTATTTCTAAAAATACCCACATTGCATGATAAATCAACTGTAGCATGGTAGCAGTCATAGGATGGTAAGCCTACATTAATCATATATATCATTGACAATGTGCTCATTCTCTGAGTACGTTTGTATGATACTGGTAAAAATATGTCACTCAACTGCATACATGAAAAGAAAACAGGAACTTTACAAGGGTGCAAAGCCTGTAGCATTTCAGGTAAATTAAGCTGTGAAATACATACTCTAGAAGACATCAGAAAAATCCAGATCTCAGTCATATTTTGGAAATCCTGAGCAACTTTCCTGCTTTTTAAATGTGTGTTTTTTTTTTTTTTTTTTTTTTTTTTTTTTTTTTTTTTGTTGTTGTTTTTTTTTGTTTTTTTTTATCACATGAATGTATTTCTGTCACTAATGCCACCAAAATGCCGGACAGATCCTGAGAAAAATCAGTTAAATCAATTGAGAGTAAAAGATCTTGTAGAAAATCCTATCTGAAACAGACGTATTAACCATTATAGAGAGGCAAGCAAGCAACTTACAATTATTAGACTCTTCACTATTAGTGTTTCATTTTAAAGTCTTTGGATAATAAGGTGAGATGTGTGTTAATTCCTAACATAAGCAGTAATTAAATAAGCAGTCAATGTCTTTGCTCTAGTCGGCTGTTAACATTCAGAGTTTTAATTTGGCAACATCTAATTTTTGTTCATTGCTGTTTTTCATAGATTGGATTCTACAATGCTGTAGCCATCCCATGTTACACCACACTTGCACAAATCTTTCCTCCAACTGGGCCACTACTACGAGCATGCAGGTGAGTAAATGTGTAAGGTTTTGCATAGCAGGTAGCTTGGTTAAAGAAAAAGCAAACGTGGTCTGCTAGTTTTTCTAGAAATACACACTTTTAATTTGGGAATTTGCATGCAGATAAATGGGGATTTATTTCTCATATTAATTTATGTAGAATTTCATGTAATTTATGTAGAAACCCAGAGGCAGTAACTGCTGACTGGGACTGTCCAACGCAGATCTACAGACACAACTGATTAAAATGTGCTTGAGCATTCAGAAAAGAACAGGTTCAATGATTATGTTTCTCTATCTCATGTGGTTCAGAGCAATTTCACTCTGTGTCATTTTTACTTCAACATGATACCAGTAAGTTTGGCAGAGGACAAGAATTCTATTGCATTAAAAACATAGTTTTTCCATGTCATTTGATTTTGTATCTGAATATTGCTGTTAGGAAACAGAAAAAGAGGGCCTCAACTTAGAATAGTCAGTAACTTGGAGCATAAGGGGATGTCAGGAAGGCAGATGTAGACTTGTCCTTCCAATCAGCAAGAACATAGTTTGGGGTCTTCTGAAGGAGAGGACAATTGGCTTCTTCTACTGTGGAATGATGATAGATCTCTTTGTAGGTAGTCCAGTAGTTCTATCTGAGACCATGACAATCTTCACTGACAAAACTTCTGTTGAACAGTATGCTGCATAAAAATATTTGCATTTCAGGTTAATCTGTATTCTCTAAGAAAAAGCAGTTGTTGGAATGCCAGCAATTTTTAGTCGCGTGCCAGGAGAAGTCATGTTTCCCTGTGTTCTTACAAGAACCCCTGTATGTGTGTTTAACGTTCTAACTTCTAGTGGAATATGTCCTAGCCCACAGCTGGGGTTTTAAAATTATAATTCTTCATATTAATGAAAAAAAGCTCATATTAGGAAATTTATGGATATTAGGAAAGTTTTGTTACTAGCACAGTCAAATAAGAGGTCTTAAAAATGGGTTTATATTTACTGTAGAAACATTTGCATAAACCTGTCAGTATATTTACTCATAAGTAAGCATTGTTATTTGTCTTATGAGAAATGAGGCCAAGAAGCTAAGGTGAGTGTTTGAGACTGCATAGCATCGTTTTTGAGAGCAGGGTTCTTGGAACTTTTGATTCCAGCAATGCATCCAAGTGAGACAGTTTCAAAAAGTGGGTTGTAGAACTTGGCCGTCCATCTTTCAATACAGAACTGGAAAGGCATAAAATTGAATTGCAGAACTGATGGATGTAGGGATGAAGTTTGGTTTTCATAAGACTTCATAAGATTTTCATAAGAGCTTCCTGAAAATCTATTCCCTGCCATAAGATCCTATGATGAGAGTCTGATAGTTTTAGAAGTGAATTGCTCTTCTACACATCCACCTGAAGTGATCTGTTCGAGAAGGTTTAGGTAGAAGTGTTGAGAATTCAGATTTGGAGCTGTAGACTAGAAATTCAAGAATACAGAGTGAAGTTACACTTGTTCATTACTGAAACGTATGTTATTGCAGGGTTAGTCCACTTTTTCAAATAGCTGATTTTGCACTGCACATTTTTGAGGGGTAAGTGATGAGAAGAAAGCAGCCTTACTCCCCTTTGATATTGCCTCAGCTGCTGACTGGGCCAGTTTTGATATCACTTCTTCACTAGCAGAGCTTTTTCTTGAAACACAGTGTTTATGCTGCCCTGTCCTTGAGTCACTTGGAACACAGACACCATTGCAAAGGATAGCAACAAAAACAGGCAAGGCAGCATATCAGCATCAAGATCTTTATTTTGAGAGCCTCTGGGCATTCATTCCAGGCATATAGGAGCCAGAAGTTCAATGGGAGCACAAAGGCAAATGAATTGTACTACGTGCATCTTAAAATAATAATAATAAAAAAATTAAAAAAAAAAAAATCAGTCACTGATTTGTCTAAGGTAAAGCAGTATCTAAGAATCTTTATCTTGTCTGATGATTTCTTCCACTTTTTAAAATACTCTGTTATATGTATAATGTATTTATTTCCTTGTTGAAAATATTTCTTAGTATATATGTATTCGCTGTGTATCAAAGCTACCATCCGAGTTGTACTGCCCAAAATAACTCACATGGGTGTTTTTTATCCTGCATGCTCACTAGGCTTACTAAACTGACAAATCCATAATAGTATGGGAGTTGCTCTGAAAGTAGTGCTTCCTGTGTTATTATGTTGGTGCACGGTTGTCAGAGGCAGTTGTTGGTGTGGCCTTAGAGGTTGAAACTTCCCACCAATATTCCATTACGTGTTGTTGCCATGCAACTGATGGTAGCAGAGGGAAAATCTGACAAAATGGCATCTGACATGGAAGTGCTTATGAAGCAAAGGTGTGTAAATCAATTCCTCCACGTGGAAAAAGTGGCACCCACTGACATTAATCGACACTTGCTGAATGTTTATGGAGACCAAACAGTAAATGTGAGTGCAGTAAGGTGATGGGTAGTGTCTCACCAGTGGCAACAGTGACATGAAAGGCAAGTCAGGGTCTGTTGACCGTGCAGATTTTTACAACCGTAGCATGCAGGCTGTTGTTCATTGCTGGTGTAAATTCATTGCTGATAGTAGTGACTAGGTTGAAAAATAGTGTTTTGTAGCTGAGAATTTTCTCTGTTGAATAATGTGATTGTGCTCCATATGGCTTTTGTAGTTCCCATGGGAATAAAACGGAGGCATTATTTTTTGAAGCAATCTACATATATTTAGGGAAAGTGATTTTTCTTTTAAACTGAACCAAATATTTTTAAATAGTTTTCCATGTGCCTACAGGTTTCTGATTTGTTGCTGAAATAGATACAATTTACACATACTTTAGCTGCAGTTCTTCTCATTACTTCCCAGTTTGGGAAAGGAAACTAGAAATAGTGACAGTTGAATTTTTCTAATCTTTAGTATTTATATTTTTGTATTAGCTGAGCTTCAGTGTTATATTTGTACTGGTTCCATGTCTTCCAGTTGACCTGGAGCAAAGGAAGAACAGGTTGAAATGTGCTTGCAGAAAATGATATAGGTGTTCCCCTAGAGGGCACCAGCTTTCTTTGGTTGTCTTCCTTAGATCCTTCCTTTCCCCATTGCCAGAAAATGCAACATTTTCTCTTGTTTGTTTGCTGTGTTCCCAGTTCATAATTTGCTGTTTTTTATCAACTGTTTCAGCAGAGCTGTGTCATAAATATAGTGAGAGCTCTACCGTGTAAATTCAAATGTAATGCAATAACATGGCTTACAGCATATAGGACCTTCATAGGTTTACCATCCTGTTTGTTTACTGGAAACATCTAAGTACCATTGTTTTAGTAACTAGATTCCTAATGTTATAAACCTGGAACAGCTGAGATTGCTCTCCTTTTCTCTGCGTGTAAAAACTGAATGCTAGATTTGGTCCATAGGTTGCAAAGTATGGTTAATGTTGTTTATCATTAACATATCCTTTCAAGTCACAGTAGTGATACTAGTGTGCACCAAGAAAGATTATGTGTCTATAATCCCTTTGTATCATTAGAATTCTACCAGCAAAATTTCTCAGTACTTTATTGCTTGCAAACTAAAAACTGGACTTGGGGTTTTGTCAGGCTATAAGACCATGAAAACAAAATCTGTCTCAAGGAAGAGGTATTCTTTTGTTGTAACAGATTGACAGGTATATCACCACTGCAGTAACTGCATTCTATGATGTTGGTATACAACATCTTACACACTGTCAGGCAACCCCTGTGCAGATGTTTCAGAAGACTTAATGCGCTTCTGTGGTTTCCAGTGAAGGAAGTTTCCTGGCAGGAGTTCCAATCTCTGTAGTGCCTACAGACTGCTGCTTCAGAGTCTGTGTAGACATGGCTCCAGCTGGGTTTCCTTTGCAGCCAGGAGAGCTATGGAACTGTAATAGAAACAGGTGCTAACCTCTAGCTCAGAACTGTAGGCTTATATAGGTCAACAAGTATGCTATCCACACAGGATTATAAAATGAGATAACTTAAGACAAAGGATGAAAGAATATAATGATAAAAGCTTAGTGACATACTAGCACTTTTATTCATGAAGCTACATCACAAAGTATAGTATAGCAGAGAATATTATTAGTAAGAAATCTCATTCAACTTAAAGTGTTTGCCTCTCTTGACTTTTTTTTTTTTTTTTTTTTTTTTTTTTTTTTTT